GCGCAACTAACGCGTCAGGCAGGAATCATGTTGGCACAGTATAGAAAAGGGGGAGAAGTGCCATAGACAGCAGAACATAACAGACAACGACTACAGAGCCAAGAATAAAGCGATTTCCACGCAGCAGCAATCATTCATGACCGACTCCGTGCGGAGAGAGTCAATGATTGAGGCGGCTGGGGAGTTCAACGCGAGGAGGACAACCTTGAATAATGCATTGGAGTCTCAGCTCCACGTCTACGTCATATCCAAGACATTCAGCCTTGTGGCCAAGACTCAGCCTTGAAGGACCCCATGTTGCCCATTGGGAGATGAGATTACATCAAAGAATCACTTCTCGGGCTATGCAGCTTGAGCTAACCGACCTAATCCTCCAAAGATCTGACATTGTCCATCTTAGTTCCTACTCTACTTCTTGCCCACTTAGAATAAGCAGACCCCGACACCAGCAACCGAGGCCAGCAGGACGAAGGACCAGAGACTATTGGGGATCTTCACAGTCGGGCCAGCATTGCTGGCTTGGGCAGCCCCATCCTCAATTCCGTTTCCAGAACCACCATTTCCATCTCCACTTTGACCCTGACCCTCTGGCTCTGTGACTTCCCCCTCCAACTTCGCCAAGCGGATTTCATTGGCCCCAAAGTCAAACACCGTAAGCACGTTCTTGAGAAACGGTGCGCCGATGATGTTCAATGTGAGATCCCCAGCCGTGCCCCCATTGAAGTTCGAGCTCAAGATATTCGAGACGCATTGCGCCTTACCGCCGCTTGGGTCAGCGGTTTGATAGATAAGATCACGACCGTCGAGAAAGAACGTCTGATTACCAATCCCAAGGCCGAATTGGGGTGGGGTGGCGGCACAGTCGACGAGCCACAATCCTGTCGTGGCATCGAAGACAGCGGGCGGTGAGAACAGGGAGTTTACAGAGGCCACTGTCTTATCGGGAAGGTAAGAGAAGAAATTGCCGCTGTCGATGAATGCTTGGAATGAAGTGCCGTTTTCGGTTGTGGAAGAGGTCGTGATGTTGTTTGGGTGAGGAGCAGAGAGAACCGTGGTCTTATTGCCGGGGCCGTACACAATAGAAGATACGGTTATCGCCCAGTAGGCACGGACGCGCTCATTGGACGTGACTTGAATGGGGACGGAATTGTCAATCTCAACTGGGACCTTGGTAAAGTCATCGCTGTGCGGAACTGGCGGAAGGCCGCCGAGGGTCAAGTAGCCCCCGAACCCAGAGGAGGTATTCTGTGGTGTTCGTGCCAGTGCAAGGCTGAAGTATGGGTCTATTAGACCTTGTTGATGCATGGTGAACAGCAATGGGTTATATGTGAGGCGGTTGTAAAAGTAGGTCGTGTTGTCCGTGACATTAGCTGGATGACCTGATGTCAATGCTGGATATGCTAGACCCAGAAGGCCAGAGTTGACGCCGTCGCCCATAGGTGTCGAGCTATTAGCCACTCCGATGATTGACTTCTTGACTGTGATGCCAGCGAGAGTGATTTCTTCGTGGGCCAAGACCCCGGAGGCAATGCCCGCGCCATATTGAACACCAAACATCTCGTTCGGGATTTCAAAATATGTAGCAGACGGAGTGTATGTCGCACTGCCGTACAAACAGGCAGATTGTGGGAGCTCAGTCCCATCGTTCTTGTCAAAACACTGATAGCCTTTCTTCATGACATACGTGTCGCTGCTTCCGGTGTCGACAAGGAGAGGAAAGGTCTGCCCGCCGATCGTCACGTTGACATCGAAGATTGTTCCAAAGGTTGTAGACAAGAGACCCGAAGTGGCATTGCTGGGGGTCGATGTGCTTCGACGATTGAGAACAAGATGCTGGGCTGAGCTGGAAGATAGAGCGAGAGCAACGGTTTGTAACAAGCCTAGAGTAAGAAAGAGTGCGGACAGGTTTCCCATTGTGAGAAGTTGACGGAGATAGCGAAGGCTTTCAATGGATTGGAAACGGAGAGATGTCTTCCAGTTGACAGGGCCGAGCACCTACCGTAGGTCTTTTATACCTTGAGTGTTGATATGGCACCGCCATTGATCGATGCCTTTGCTTAACCACGCGCTCTCCAAGGGCTACCCACCGACAGGGTGACAAGGTCCGTAAATTCGTAAGCTAACGTCAGGGGAAACCCTGAGAAAGCGATGTTCTTCAGCATATTGGTGGCCTTACATGAGCCGATACCACTTCTTGATATACAGACCACGACCATCGAGCAGTGATGAAAGAATCGTCCTATCAAAAAGGTATGGTGCCGTGATGGGCAAAGAAGGCGGATTCTCGCCTGTCCGTACGCTTCAACCTCGGGGAAAATCGTGGATGGGATTGGCTGGCAAGGCTGTGCCAAGCCCCACAAGGCTGAGCGCCATCTGTCTGGGATCTTTGCAACTTCAGCTCGGTCTTTCGATCTCCCTGCCTCCTCAAACTAGTCGATATCGTCCATTTGGCTCTAGATCGATCCACAGACCGGCCTCAAGCCTCAAAACCTAGACTTTGCCGTCGCAATGTCCCTCTCCGTCCCCCCTGCTTGCGTATTCTTCAATCGTCTACATGGACAAATTGGCCGCTAGGAGGCCGCGGAAGAGCGCACCCAAGACTCGTTCAGGGTGTTCCACCTGCAAGTACGTATGTATATACTAGACAGCCGGACAATTTTGACGCCAGTGCATACAGAGCTCGCCATATCCGATGCGATCAAGCAAGGCCGGAATGTGAGAACTGCACCTCATCTCACAGGAAATGTCAAGGCTATCCGACCCCTCCAGCACAAAATTCTCGAGGCGTACAGAACCCAGCTCAGAATTTCAGTTCTATCGCATCGTACAGTATTCCCTTCAAGGTGCCCGGAAGCCAAGCCGATCGGCAGCTCTTACATTATTACTGCTGTCAAGCAGCCTGGAACCTCTCCAGCTACGCCGACCCGACCTTATGGACCGAGCTGATCCTCCAGCGAAGTCAAGACCAACCCGTCATCCGAAATAGCCTTGTAGTTCTGAGCTCCCTACACAAGGACTTTGTTTGTGGGTCATTCACGAACAAGCCGAGTCTACACGTTGAGACCATGACTATGGTCAGCAAATGCTACGTACAGCTGAAGAATTACCTCGCGAGGTCTGATGCACAGCCAGATGTAGCATTGGTCTGCAGCGTCATATTCTATTCTTTGGAGTCACTCCTTGGCGATACTCAGCAGGCGATCTCACACCTTGACAGCGGCTTAAAACTGCTGAAGCGAACCCAACACGAGGGAAAATGGGCCGACGAACAGTTGATCGTACATCTGACACACCTCTTGGAGCGTCTGGATATCCAAGCGAGCTCCTATGATGACCTCAGACTTCCGGTGCTGGAACTGGTGTCTCCCGAAGATACTCGAGGAGTGTTGTCGGTTGTTCCTGATTCGTTCCAGAGTCTCGACCATGCTGAAGGGGTTCTGGTGAAACTTCAGAACTGGACCCTCCGCCAATTGATTAGCCAGGTCCAACACAAAGGCAAGTCATCAAGTGAAATTCCTCAGGGTTTGTGGCGCGAAAGAGTTGTATTACGCCAGCAGTATGAGAGGTACCGGCACTCACTGAGTGGCCTTGGTAACAATGTCGGCAATTCTGCCTCCAATGTCTCAGCGAGTGCCACCAAGGACGGTAGACAGCAGCTCCAGCACCAACAGTTCTTGCTCTTGCAGATAAGCTTCCACACCTTCTACAGTCTTATCGAGGAGAATGTTCCGATTGCTGCTGATGCTATGAGCTATCCTCTTGATGACGAAGATACCCTCGGCACAGCACTGTCAGAAGTACTCGAGCTTCTCTCTCTGGCAACTCGCTCAGCATCACGTTCCGCCGGCGCTTTGTTCCCACTAGCCTCGCCTTCGCAACGCACCTATACATTATCCACATTCCTCATCGGGACGCTATACTTTGTGTGCCTGAAAACCACCCACCCGGAAATATTGGCCGCGGCTTGCCGAATGTTCTCCCACCCTCTGCTCAAGGACTCGCGAGATGGTCTCTGGGACTCCCGCCTTGCGGAGATGGTGGTCAAGAATGTGATGAAGATTCGTGATCGAGGCATGGGTATGGATGTACCTGATAATATCGCGGCAGAGAACCCGACGACATCGACGTTCACCAGTGAGGATGTCAGTTTGGAGGAAGGGACCGACTATCTCACCACCGACATGTCCATGCTGACTCCCAACGAACTGGATCTGTTCACTGACGCAGCTGCATTCCTCACTACAGACGACTCTTTCCTGCTCCCAGCCGATCCTGTGGCGCCGGGCACATCTTTGTCCGTCTCGGGCGCCAACTCGTCGTGTCCATCAGAAGACTCATTCTCGATATTCAACACTAGCGATACGAGTCTTCCAGACGCAAACCCGCTGTGGATCGAGAACTTGGCCCAGAATTTAGGCCGTGATTCGCATATAAACAACACTCCAGAGAGTTATCCGAGAACTGAGCAAGACCAAATATACCCAGTGGGAGACGAGCCAACAGTCCCGAGTGTCCGCCACTACGTGCAGATTCGGCCGAAAACTCTGCCTAGGGTACAACTGCAGAGTAAGGACGCCATGTACCACCACCAATTCACGGTGCCGAGGGGTAAGTCACCCGGGAGTTCCAGGCTGGAAGACTTCGCGCTGGGTATTGTGGATGCAGACGGCGGAATCGAGGAAGCGGCCAAAAGGGTCTCGGCCATGGGCATATAAGGTAGATTCCTCGAGACGGTGGATTCCACAAACATTACATATGCAAAGACTACTGCAACGCGAGTTCCAGCCGGCGTCACTACTTCTGGATCTTGACGGCGATGTCCCTTGACCCAGCCCCTCTAACGGAGAGGAAGAATGTTTTTGTACTCTATGGGCCGAAGACGACAGTTGCGGCAAAATATTGTCAACTGCCAGGAATATCATCCAATCTGGCCTTGTCTGTACATTATCCATCGATCCTCCACGTTAGGTCAACCCCTGACAATTGACGCCCTAGAATCCTCAGACTCGAGGTTTCCACCCCGTCCAGTCCACAAAAGCGTTGTCGAAGAAGTCATTCGTCCATGTTGTCAGATCGGTCGGCTCAGCACCAACGTTCTCTGTCTGCGGATTGTAGTTAAGATCGGGGGAATGCATGTTGTAGTTGAAGAATGAATCCCAACTCAGAGCGTTTGGCCAGTGATCGGACACTGGTTCTGCTAGGAAAGGAGGAATCACTGGATTGGCAGTGTTGTGGTCTGGTGGACAAGAAATGGCTGGTCAGATACTCCACTTTTTTTTTGGTGTTGGGCCAAATACATACCTTGAGGGTTAACCACCGATCGGGCATGCTGCACCAGAACCTCAGCGACACTCTTGAGCTTGGCGGCGAGCGAGTTCCTCGAGCTCATCTTCCCCAAGAAGACAGGGAGGTGCTCCATGGCTGCCAGTGCTGCCCGGCTGTCGTCCGATCCGCCCGCGCCATTCGAAATAAGTTCGCGGAAAAGGTCCAAGAACGGCGTAAAGGGTGCACACAAAAGATGCCATACCATGCTGTTAGCTGAACCTTGGGACTCGTCCGACCCCATCTTCTCGAGCAGACAAAGCATCCGTTTCGACGACTCAGTACACTGGACTCTCATCCGGGGTGAAGATCGAGCGAGGAGGATATAGAGGTACTCGTACTGGAAACTGACGTTTCTCAGAGCCAGGTCAATGGCAGCAGCATCTTTGGGGGCGAGAAGTGGTTTCTCTGTGAGAGAAGCAGCTTCGAGAATCTGCGTGGCATGTCAGTGTCTTTGAAGATCCAGGTCCGTTGAGATTACTACACACCTGCATTGTACTGAGATACCAGGACTCAAGACTCTCGCTGGTTGATTCGATGTTCTTGTAATCAGGCATCAGATCTTCATGAAGATAATACCAGATATCACCCATTATGAGTGACAGAAGGAACATTCGGTTGATGTAATCTGAAGCTCATATCAGTTGTTTTCCGTTGTTTGGGGTCATCACAACCATTTCACTCACGCACTCCGAACAACGCTGGTGTGTCAGACGGGTCAGTATCTTGCTGAGACGAAAAGATCCGCTTTATCGTTGGGACGGGTATCTCTATCGGCATTCCGCGGTGGAAGGCAGGAGATCTGCCAAAGATGAGAGCCAGTCCAATATCCACCAGATACAAATGCCAAAACATCATGACGCGCCGGTCTCGGGTTGGAGAGTCGAATCGGCGGTGGTTCACACCCAGCGCCTGCAGCATCCTGCATGCATTTGTGACCATCATCCAACAAAGTGTTGGAGTGGTGAACTCTTCAACATCAAGAGCGAGCAGAAGCAATGCCTGGATGTTCAGTTCGCTGGGTTCGAGGTGGAGTCTGGCATCGTTGAGGGCGAGCAAGAGATTTGATCGAAGCTTTGATTTTGTGGATTCGTCCACGGGGTCGGTTTCGGAGACGAAATTTAGCATGATACCATAGTACATGACCAGCCAAGCTCGATCCCTCACCTTCTCGGGACAAGATGCTCGCAAGTGGCCCAGTACTTCGGGAGGCGGGGTGAGACAGCAAGGACGATCGCGTTTCAACTCGGCCTCAAAGGCTGTCCCAAGTTGTGTCAGCAGTATCCTCTGTTGTACAGACTACAGCACTCACTATTGACCCAGGAGACTGCCCGATCTTTGAACAAGAAAAACGTCCTAGCAGCCTTGCCCAGCTCCAGAGAACCCTGCCAAACGGCTGCAGAAGTTTGAGCCAGCGACGAGAGCGCTCCCAGAGAGTTTTGTCGCGACGCGCCGAGACCGTGCAAGCGCTCCTGAGTCGCATCTATGTCAGTTGCCAGGCTGGACTGCAGGTTGTTGGGAGCCACTTCGCCAGCGCGGCTGCCAGTCACCGCACTAGAAGTCGACTGATCAGAGACACTGCTGGCATGTTTCCGCTTTTGTCTATTTCTGCGAATGAGGCCCGACCGTGAATACGAGCAAGCAGTAGCTTCTTCTTCGCAGCGTTGACAACTAGGCTGGCTTCTCGAGCACGCAACCTGCGAATGGATCAGTAACAGCCGTCTTCCACGTCTGCGAGGGTTGACACACCTTGCGGGATCGGCATTTATCGCACTTCAGCCGCCAATCTGGTCAGTTTAGAGGTTCCGATGAAGTCAGTGACAGGGGCTTACAGCATACGGGGCCAGTGTCTCTGTCATAATCAGGTCTGTCTATGATTGAAAGATGGGTAAATGAGTGTCGGTGACGGGCGCTCGTCATGTATTTGGCTCGCCAAGACAAAATTAAGTGCCGAATATCCTCCGTCGGAACTTACGGAGCTTAATATTCTGACAACAAGAGGTACCCAAGGTACCTCCGCTACACCTCACTGAATCTTGATCGTGATATAAAAGATGGCCTTTGACACTTACAAGCTGGAAATGTATTTCTCTTTCACTTTCGATTCCTCCAAAGAGTTCCGTCATGGCAACGCCTATCGCTATCCTCGGCGCCGGCCCCAGCGGCTTGATGCTCGGTCGCATGCTCGAACTCGCTAATATCGACTACATCATCTTCGAGCGAGACATATCAGGAAATGAGACCTCTTCACGAGCCGGTACCCTCGATATCCACGCCAACTCTGGCCAGGTTGCTCTTCAGGAGGCTGGCTTACTAGACCGGTTCAAGCAGCTCGCCCGTACCGATGCACATACAGTGCTGGCAGACGGGCAAGGCAAAGTCTACATCAGGACGGGTGATCGCGACGATGCCAACGAGGACAGACCCGAGATTGACCGCAAGGACTTACGTGCGCTGCTCCTGAGCTCCGTTCCAGAGAACAAGGTCCGCTGGGGTTGCAAGGTCCAACAGGTGCAGCAAGACCCTGACGGGTCAATGTCGGTGCAGTTTGCGGACGGCAGAGTCGAGTCGGGCTTTCGCCTCGTCGTCGGCGCGGATGGAGCATGGTCGAAAGCTAGGAATCTTGTCAGTCTCCCCCGTCTTGTCTCTATCCATCTCCCAGCCCGGTTCTTCAGTGTCTGACGGCGGTTAATAGGTCACATCGGCCAAACCTGAGTACTCTGGAATACACTACTTGACCACCACAATCAGCTTGGGGAATCCGTTCCATGAGTCTGTCGCCGCGCTGGCTGGACAGGGCAACTACATCGCCTTTGGCGCGGGGAAGCAGATCGTCGTTTTCAAACTCGGCGACGGCGCTTACTACGTCGGCGTAGGCTTGCGCCTCCCTGAGCGCTGGAGCACGGACAATGCGACGATCCTGGAGAACCCGTCCGCGCTGCGTCAGTGGTTGTGCGACGAACACTTTGCAGACTGGCCGCAGGTGCACACCGATCTGATCACATGCAGTGACGGGAAGGTCTATGCCTGGCCGTTATACACTGTGCCGACTGCGTCGCTGCCATGGACGACCGTGTCTGGTATTACCCTGGTGGGAGACGCTGCGCATCTAAGGTAAGACAACACTACTTACGGATCCCGCCCCCTTCTTCTTCTTCTTCTTCTTCTTTGTCCCACGTTGAACCCGCTACGCTCTCAGCATGAAGTACCTGACCAATTAACTTACTGGCACATACAGCCCCCCTTTCGTAGGCGAAGGCGTCAACTGCGCTCTGACGGACAGTCTCGAGCTCGCCCGACAGATCATCAAGTACGGGGTAAACGACCTGGACCGCGCCGTGGCAGAGTACGAGAAGCTGATGGTCCCGCGCGCGATCGATCTCATTACCCGGAGTCATCGGAGTGGAGAGCTGTTTTTCGCGCCGGACGCGCCCCGTGGCTGGCTTAAGGCTTTTGCTGGTGTGGATATTGACGAGTGGGCGAGTGAGTGAGTGAGTGAGCCAAGGAATGGGATGAGGTGACTTTCAGGATGTGTATGGACATGGATATTAGGGAGCGGGTCATTGCATGTACGTTCACCTAGGTATGCGCATTAAGACAGGATATGGATACGAATACGCATTCGGATATCAGAATAGCAGGTCCTCAGAACGAGGTACGTTCGTACAATAATTGACCGGATACCAGCTACCAGCTACCATCCTGGAAGAGCAAAATCACATCTCCATACTCTACCGACCGCGGGTCTGGAGACACACGACGACCTAGCTAAGCAAGATAGTCCCCAGTCCGGAGATTCCAGGTACATATCACATATGTTGAGGACCGAGTAGGTGTCGAGGGATCGTCTCTCGAAGTGTCTCCACACGGTGGATGTCAAGACTAGCCTCTTTGGGTCGGCGGGCGGTGGGTATTGGTAAGGGATCGCATGTGGGGCCTTTTTCAACATCTGCACACATACACAGGTAGGTATCTCGCCACAACCCGAAACTTTTCAATTCTCGTCACAGGTGGCTACGCTCTCGCTTCTCTCCTTTTATCCCATTCCCATTCTCACGCACATACGGCTGTGTCCGCTGAATCTCGAACCCCCGCCCGCGCAGCCGCGCCGGCCACACGCCACTCTTGCCCGGGGCGAGGATGCCGTTCGGGTCGAGACTGTCTTTTAGCTGTTGGTTGAATTTCATCGACGCCCCGCCGTTCCAGTTGTACACGCTGGCGATCTGGTCCATATAGCAGAGGTGGGTGCGGTATTCGCCGTAGCCCTGTAGGTGGACGAGGGCGAGGAGGGTTAGTCATAGGAATGATCTTGAAGGAGATAGACTGGTAGGTATATTCTTTTGAGGGGACAAAGTCCCCGGACGGACTGGTGGATGGTAGAAGGACCGTTCAACAAAGAGGGAGGGGAATAGGGTTGTACGTACCTCGGCTGCGGCATCGTCGATCAACAGTTCAATGCATCGGTGTGCCCGTCTGCGTGAATCAGGGTCCGACTTGTCAAATGTGAGGCACACTATAATACAAATCAGTGATCAGTTTTCTCCCCAAAAGTTTGTTTGTCTCAGATGAAAAACATTATCGGACGAACCAATGTGGTGAAGTTCACGCCATCCCACGACAAAAGTGCCCAGGTAGTCGAACCCAAACTCGCCCAGTCTCCGCTTCACCATCGCGTACTGTTTGTCGGCGTCAACACCCGTGGCGGGCGAGATGGGAGAGAATCCCAGCAGCGAGCCGCGCTTGCAGGTCCAGTCTAGCCAGCCCAGCTCGTACGTGTTCGGGATCCCCTTGAGGGTTTCCTCGCGCATGTGCAGGACGGTCTTTTGGGAGCCTTCTTTGAGAGGTTCAGGGAATTCGTATCTCGCCTGTGAAACTAGGGTCAGACAAAAGAGAGCCTTTGTGGAGAATGACGATAAATAGACGAAGAGCCACTGATTGTTAGGCTTGCCACAAGCAGGGCATGATAGACTCACTCCAGGAATCTGCATACAAGTATTCTTCAACACTTCCCACTGAAGGTCCCGCATTGCTTTCGGCCCGTACATGGCACCGTAAATGTTCCAACGGCCAACCCCTATCTTTTGAGCGATCCCGTCGATCTCGTCACCTGTGAGGACGTCTTTGGAATCTGTGTAGTGAGACTTTGGGGCATAAACGGCAGCATCGAGGAGCGTCGATCGAATCGTTGGCGCGTTCTGGATGACCATGCCAATCCGTAGGACACGGATAGCTTCAACTATAGCCGGGAGATCGGTGTCGTTCTGGAAAGAGAACAGGTAGGCTTGGTAGCCCTGAGTCGAATGTGTTAGCCCGCCCGAGTATATTGACGAATAGCTCTCTCATACGGCGGGAGATGTCTTACACCAGGGTCCGGCATGAGCCAAAAGCCCATCTTCGTGACAATGCCATAGTTCGACTGGGTGAAGATGCCGTCAGGATACGGACCGAATCCGTACTGGAATGTCTGCCAGGTGTTGTTGTTCGGCAGGGCTCCCATCCCTGTCCGCATCACTTCACCGGTTGGCAGGACGACTTCCATGCCGCAATGCATCGAAAAGTGCTCTCCGTAAGGAGTGTAGCCAGCACCTCGATCCAGAGCGTTGCCGATGACGGAGCCACCTCCCAGGTCAGGGTTGTCGATCCAAAGATGCTTGAAGCCGTTCTTCTGAAGATAGTCGTAGAGGGCAAAGTACGAAACACCAGGCTCGAGCAGACAGGTGCAGTCTCGGTCGCTGACTTGAAGCACTTTGTTCATCCGGGCACCCATGTCAAGAACAATGCTCCCTCGAAGACGGGGTGCGGAGCCTCCATACCCTGTAGTTGTTCAGCTCTCGTTAGCAGTCCTGCGCGACAGATCTCGTGCGTACCAAGGTTTCGACCCATAGAGACAGGCCACAATGGTGTCAAGTACTTGTTGGCCAGTTTTACAATGGCGGACACGTCTTCTGTTGAACCTGGCCGGACGACCGCACTCGCGAGGAAGACATCTTTTTCCAAAACGTAGAACAGGTCATGTTCTTTCGGGAGGTTGTAGTAGTGTCCATCCTCGTCAGGTTTCATCGCCTCCTTGGTACAGATGTCGACATTCTCCGGCCCGACTATCAGACTGATTTCTTTTAGTGCTTGTCTTAAGGTGCTCGCAGAAACATCCGGTGGGGTTATAAGATCGATATCACCATGCGAGTCAAGCAAAGAAATCGACGCCATGGCTGCAGTGTTGAGAACCACTTGTCTGTGTAAAAGACAAGGCCACGTCTCGGTGAAGACTAGTCAAGCCGGTTGAGGAAGATAGTCTATTCAAGAACCAGCTGAGTCCCACGAGGATTCTCTCCACGGCAAACCTGACTATTTATGCCGTGAGAACACTGAGAGTCTAGTAGGTTGGGTGGGACGTGAACTTTCCCACGGGGCCCCAGGTAGCTAGCCTTGGCCTCGTCTTGTGGCCAAGCCAGAGAGCATCGTCACCCCACATTAAAGACTTGGGCGAGAGGTGGTAGGAATCTTGAAGCATTGGCGACGAGATCATTGAACCCTCGCATGTCGCAGACCTTGGTTAGCGAGAAGCTGGGAGTTTTGGATTATGGGCAGTAGATGCAATATTCTCCACCTGTCCCACATGACGAATCTCAGGCTCGAGTCAGTCCAGTATAAGGGGAGAAAGCAGGAAGCGGCTATTTTGAACTGCTGTTGAGCGTGTGTATCTGTAGCAACAATCATTTCTTGCCCTTTTGTATGCCGCTTCAGCTGCTGGAATCTTCATCATTTTTGGGCAAAAGGAGAGGAAGTCGATCCAGATCATTCTTGCGGGCATTGACCAGCTCGGTGATAGACCGACGAGCCTCGAGCAGCTGTACAAGTTCTAGAAAATGATTAGAAGGACAAGAGACCGCGAACAGATAGTAGAGGCTCTCACCTAGCACAGAAGCACCGATCTGCCAGAACGAGCCTATCGCCCCGAGAACTAGCTTCAACATCTCGAGGTATATGGGCCGGCTCTCGTCCGGGTGGGCAGCCAACTCGCACGCTGTTTTGGCATTGATGGCCGCGGGTCCAAGAAGGGTCGTGGTAACCAGAGGACATGCTCGAGCGATGTAGTTAGGGTCCCATTCCCTAATAACGCGACATACCAACTTCTCATCTTCCAAGGCTGATGTTTCCAGGGAGACATCCAAATGCTCTGGGAACTTCCGATTACAAAGCAGTCGAAGTGACGAGCGACTCCTATTGCCTCAAATCAGCATGTGGGATCTGGATATGTTAGAACTTCGCATGAAGGACTTACGACTGCAGGATTAGATGAGTGCACACAATCCAATTGTTTGCGGCAAAACTGGACTCATCATAGCTCAGACAGTTCGTGGAAAGATGAAACCTTTGAGGAAGAATCAGAGAGAAGCAAGTTATGGAGGACTGGAAGTCGCATATCGTCTGCGCTGTCGTATGCCGTCTGTGGATTATATCGTGAGCAAACGCCCTGAGGAACGACGCTATGAGGAACCAAGCCCTGTCGTCGTCGTTGGGAGAATCTTTGAGTGTCTTCCAAACGTGCAGTGGGTCATGTATAACTGCGACGGATGCAACCGGCGTATCAGAGAACCATGCTTCATCCGATACTGGCAGCAGGACGTTTATGTGAGTTTTGTCAATGGTATGTGGCCGCTTCAGAATCGTCCCCGAGAACATGTCAAGCTCCCAAGCCAACCACCAAGCCCGACGGAGTTCTTCTTTCTTGCTCCATTCTTCTGTCGACGTCCATTGGACTGTAGATTTGGACTCCAAGATGTCATGATCGATGTTGTTAAGTCCTAGGTCATACGCCAAACGACAAGAGATCCCAATGAGATTGCCGCAGCGCCCACTGGAGCCACACACCTGGTGATACCAGCCCAGAAGAATCAATCCCTGCAGCAAGGATAGGTTCGCTTGGATTGCTGCGTCGAGTTTCATGGCGTCTTGAAACAGCTGTGTGGCCTGGGTGAGAAACGGTTCAGCCCGACTCTTTGGGGGTAAATGGGCGAAATACGAAGATGTAGAAAAGCGGGCGGCTAGGGCGCAGATCGTATCGAGAATCAGGCAGTCTTCCAAACAGAGACTCTGATATTTCTCGGTATCTTGACCATACACGTTATATTTTGCATAGAATCGCGGTTTGTGAAAGAGCGGTAGCCATCCAGACACATACTTGAAGAATGCATCGATGCTAAGTACAGTAAGCATTGGGCATTGACATACGGGCAAGTACTGCATCACTCACATATCGTCGACGACCATGGCAGGGAACGGCATCGAATATCGATTAGACTTGGTATTTCCTTGACTCGTTGAGTTTGTGTTGGATGCGGGAAAGAAACCGAACTGAAAATTATAGTTCATCTCGAGAGCGCCTCCAGGATCTTGCGCTTGCAGCAGAGGAATATCCAGCATCTCCCCTACATTTCCCAGGAGAGTTTCTGGAGCCTGGCCGTTTGAGAAGCCGTCCGTTAGCCAGGGTCCTAGGGTGGGATCGAAGACATCTGCGAAGAATCGAGTTTCATTCTGTCCAGTTAAAAGTCCAAGACCGGAGTTCATGTCGTTTGTACAAAGCAGTCCATTTTCTAGCTCGTTTGTCGTTATCTGCACACCGTGGTTAGGAGAGAAAGCAGGCGTTAAAGGGACCTGAGGAGACTGCGAGGTGGTGTTTGAAAGGCTGTCTCGTCTCTCTCTCCGTCGCAATAGAGCATTTTCCAGCATACTGAGATCCAGCAGGTCGAGGATTCGGTCTGGAATGAAACGTTTTAGCTCGTCGTCGTTGTGCCTCGAACAATCCAGCTGACTCACTTATTCCTTCTTCTCCCTCCAACTCCAGGAGACGGCGCGGGCTGGCGCTCAACTGCCAGGGGCGAGTTGCCGGTCGTCTTTTCTTCGGGTAATAACAGGCTTGTCCAGTTCGAGCGCACAGCGAACACCTTGGAGTGCGTTTGTCACCTTCTCATGGTCAATCGCACGCATTGGATATAGGTCTGCGGAGATGGCGCACATTTGATCTTCTTCCTTTGGGAGTCTTAGACAGAGCAGCACCCTTTACGGCTGGGAAGATGAATAGTACCTGTTACACTCTCCACATGCACGAGCTTGTTTGCCTCTTTTTGGTTTCTCGCTGGCATGCCCTTCGTAGGTTGATTCCGTGCCGTTGTTTTCGTGACTCGAAGTATCGGAGCCCTCTCCTGTGAGCATATCGTCCATAGAGGCATCCATGAGGGTATTCTGAGAAGTGGTGAGAGCTTGTACTCCGAGGGTAAGAGTCGGATTTGTGGGGGAGACTGACCTTATACGAGGAACATGCTGGAGATGGATGGGCAAACGAGAAATGGGTGAACCACGGTGCACCGCCAAGAGCCTAATACTCAGTTAGAGTTATGGGCGCAGTTGGCGTTTCTGGGGGGCATAACAGCCTTTTTCTACCGCCTACCATCCCTAGCACTAGGGGCTCACTATGTACCTACATTGGCTTACTAGGCTCACTAGATTTGCTGCTGCGCGGAACCCCTTCCCTAAACCTAGCGGTTCTTTGCAGTAGCAACAGCTTACAATTCCGTATATTTTTAATGATTACTCAACTCCAAGCTTGACACTGGAAGTCAATACTCGAATTTATCAATGAAAGTCGTCTCGGCCAGACAATCATCGCCGATGGTGAACGCTCAGCTAAGACTGGCTGTCACTTCTGGAGAGGCACGGTTTGGATTTATTAGAGGGGGACGGTCGCGACAATCAACTAGCTGTCGTAGACGTTCATATTCACTGAGTGGTGCGCTCTATCTACCAAATGGTCTTCTGCTTGCTCTTAAAGGCTTCTCGCTTTCAGCCGACGCATAGAGATTTGTCGGTTATAACTGGTAGCAGGTAGTGAGAGCCAATTTTGTGGCAAGTGGTGTCTCGGTGTTGACTTTAAACACCGTCGCTCATGCAAGGCTGAAAGGGTTTGGGTCTCAGCAACCCGGCAAGCCCCCGAGAGGAGGATTCCAGAGACTAGATTTCTCAGCACGGCATTCAGAAGACCGAATCACAAGAAATGGCGATGCTGGAAGTGGTAAAGCGCCAAGCCCCGAGTTGGGTGGACGTCGAGGGACCTGACTGGCTGCGACATCCTTTGCCATGGCCCATCCAACTCCATCCAAAAAAAGTATGGGGACGATCATCGTCAACTACTAGGAACGGCTTTTTTCTATCCCGGCCACCAACAATCCAGCATGGTAAACACTCGTACAAACGGTGCTCAAACTCTCCCTCCCTACACACCTACCACCATGTATGGTGTCTCGAAGGACCTTCCGGCCGGCACTGCGCCCGCGCTCTCTGCGGCCTCCTCTTCGTACTTGAGCCTGAGATCAAACAGTTCAAATAAGGCCATGACGCCCACTTGCCAAATTTCCATATACCATGCACGAGCATACGGGATAAGCCAAGGCCAACACTCACAATCGCATTCCTCCTCATTTGTTACTTTTGTAACGGCTAGAAAATCCAAAAATGCCAATCGATAAATCCTGGCCGGGCTACAACAAGGGGACCATCCCCAACGACGGGTTCGAGTGGATATGGCAAGAGGCAATCCCGGGCGACGAGCCCAACAGGCCTGTGAAAGTGGTCACCATCCCATTTGGGTACGAGAAGCGTGTGCTGCCGCGAGGATGGCAAAAGACGCCCGAGAACATGCCGTTGGAGCTGGATATCATCTTTGAGAAAGACGTTGAGATTGTCATGCGAGATGGAGTCAAGGTATTCATCACGGCGTATTGGGGACAAAAAACCGATTTACTAACAATCTGCCATTAGATATATGCAGACATCTACCGACCCGCCGACACGGGCGACAAGAAGATCCCTATCATCATGCCATACTCGCCATACGGAAAAGGAGGCGGCGGAGCGAACTTGATGGACGTGGTGCCCTACCGGGTCGGAGTGCCAAAGAGTCGCCAGAGCGGTCTGGAGAAATTTGAAGGGTTAGTCACCCCAGAATAAAGCTTGCCGTCCTGGCCGGCTGACTGATAATACCAAACATAGTCCTGACCCCAACGAATGGTGTCGTCGGGGCTATGCGATTCTTGACCCAAACGCCCGCGGATCATTCGACAGCGAGGGAAATCTACATTACTTTGGTCGCAAAGAGGGCAAGTAGATCGATCCCTTCCGTCAGCGTGGACTTGTGAATTGAAAGTCCAGCCTTGCTGATGATATTTGCAGGCGAGGATTGTTACGACATCATCGAGTTCGCGGCCAAGTACGAATGGTGCAACGGCGCCGTTGGCATGGCTGGCAACTCGTGGCTCGGCGTCGTTCAGTACTGGGCCGCAATGGAACAGCCGCCTCATCTCAAAGCCATTGCCCCATGGGAAGGACTCAGCGACGTCTACCGTGATCTGAGCCGGCGGGGAGGAATCCCGTGGGCGCCTTTTTTGAAATGGGTTCTGATGGGTATTCCAGGTGAGTTACAAGTAGTTGTCACATACATCGGTCCCCCTCGTTCCTCGAGCTAATCCTCCTCCGTTTCACAAGGCCATGGCCTCCAAGAAGCCGTCACCGAGATGGGCGACGCCCATGAATTCTACGACACGTACTGGGAATCGAAGCGCGTCGACTTTAGTCGCATCAAGATTCCCTCGTACATCCTCGCCTCGTACTCGACCATGCTGCACACCATGGGCTCAGTCCGGGCGTGGAGAGAAACAGCTACGGATAAAAAGTGGCTCCGTTTCCACCCACACCAGGAGTGGTACGAGGATTACCACTACCGCTCTGTGGACGACTTGGACCGCTTCTTCACGCGGTATCTCAAGGACGAGGACAATGGGTGGGAGAACACGCCGAAAGTGCGAGTGTCGATGTATCGGTTTGGGGAAAAGGTAGGCATCTATCTGCATAGTACACTCTTCCCCTTGCTTTACAAGAGCTAACAACCCACCCCAAACCTATGTAGTACCCTCTCTACGATCAGGTCGAGACCGACTACCCGATCCCACGCACCAAATACACCAAGCTGTACCTCACGTCCAACAAGACCCTCGCAGACGCGCCCAGCGCAGCCGAGGCAGTGCATTCCTACGACTCGACCAATGGCGACATGGTGACGTACGACTACATCTTCCCCGAGCGGACGACGCTGGCGGGCTTCTCGAAACTTAAGATCTTTGTGTCGTGCAAAGAACACAACGACCTGGACATTTATGTCATGCTGCGCAAATTGTCCGTCGACGGCGGACTAATGGAGCAGTCCAATGTGCCTCTGCATGAACTCCCTGTCAAATCCGTCAAGGAGGTCGCCAACGTCAACCCGACCAAGTATCTCGGGCCAACGGGCATCCTGCGCGCCTCGCACCGGGCGATCGACCCGGACAAGTCGACAGAGTATTGTCCTGTACATCCGCACTTGCGTGCCGACTACGTCGAGCCTGGGAACGTGGTCGAGATGAGCATCGGCGTCTGGCCGATGGGGATTGTCTACGAAAAGGGCGAGGGCCTGCGGCTGCAGATCTCGGGCAAGACCATGGTGTTGCCCGAGTGGGATAACCCGCACGTCAAGCACCAGGAGCCGCAGTTCAACAAGGGCCACCATAGGGTCCACCTGGGTGGGAAGCACGCTGAAAGCTTCTTGTTAGTGCCCAAGCTGTAGGCTTGTAGTATGTATCAAGTGTCAATGCATACAATGTATGAAGCTTTTCAATATGTAGCTGCATCTTGCAGAAGTCATTGTCAGTGCATTAATATTTCCGCTTTCTGTGTTTTGCCTCGTGTGAGGGAGATCCTCCAGGGACCGAACATACCTCCCCCGTAAACCCACGAGTGACAGGCTTCGAGCCTGTCTTCACAACGCTGACATGGACTGTCGTGCACTAGAATAAAACTCTGAGACAGATAGATAGTTACCTCCCTTCCTCTCCCAGAATGAGATCTCCTGTCAAAATGGCAAAAAACTTGTCACAGAACAGCTCAACCTACTGGTCTGTGATAAGGAAAACTCGCCCCTTTCGGAGTTGGTTTTTTTCGGCCGGCCGGTTATACTACGGAATTTATACTACGAGGGTGGTTGATGTCGTCGGATCGGATCGGATCGAATCGAGGTTGTCGTCGATGCCGCCATGGTCCTACTGGTGTTAGATTGAACGGCGGAAGTAGTCAAGGGCCCTGATGCCCGCTAACCCATAGGGTTAGCTTTGACCTGACAGGACCTCAATCACTTTTTGCCGTAACCGGGACTCGAACTCGTGGATTTCGGATTCGTGATTCGCCCTTGTTGTGGAGAAGGGGTTCTTTGCGTGATGGATTTTAGAGAGAAATAACACATATACAAGTGATTTTTCGTACCGGTACTGGTTCCTCTGTGACTGTCGCATCTACTATAGACTTATCTGGCCCGCGCGAGACTACTTATGTGCGCCGGGGCAAGAATGTGGCACTACCGTATCAGATGGACGACGACCTGGCCCGGTCGCCTGAGTTGATGAGAGTCGCAGAACGGGAGAATACGAAATGGATACAAGAAGCACAGCAGAGGAATGCGGAAGCCTGACGGAAAGGGGTTCATAGTAACAACAACCATGAAGACACAGTCAGGATCATCTTGTATGGTGGATCGGCGATTGTCGCTGCCAAATGGTCAGCCGTGAGGCAATTTCTTTCGTCTGTCTACATAACAAGCCCGGTGGTCAATTCGTGCAATCTTTACATTTCGCCTTTCTTGACCATGCAAAAGACCGAAGAGAGGTTTCCTTCATGTATTGCGCAAGGACTAAGACAATTAACACTAATAGGAGTACTAGCCTCTATTGCGGGACCGTTGAATCAATCATGGCCATCTCTTTCGTTTGCCTCGGGTACGGAACTTACACCGAGGCGATGCTTAGACATGTCTCGAGAACAAATTCTCTCAGCTTCCTCGTGGCCGCTGCTTCTTCAAGATTCATCATAGAGTAGAGGACAGGTGAGTCGTGAGGCTCGGCATCTGCAACAAAATAGTCGACGTCTGGACGATGAACCTGTAGTTGAAAGTGTTAGGGAGCCTTCTTGAAGAATACTGGAACGAGGAACGGGGTGGGTGGGCGATGTTCAAAGACCGTGTGTGTCAATACCTTCAATTTCCCTACAAATGCCTCAATATCGTCGACAAATAACTCATCTTGGCCGGCAATGACGCATATCTTCTTAGATTTCGTGTTGGACCACCATGCCGGGCTGGCTTTGAGAGGCATGTTATAGTTGTCTTGTACTGCATCGCCGATGAAAGCTTGCGACCACTTCTCGAGAGGCCCGGCATCAATGCAATCCTTGTAGCGATTTGTCTGCATGGAGGCAGCCGTGGTACTGAACGTCACCCATGGCGAGATCAGTAATGTGCCTGCAACTGGTTCAGTTGCGCTCGTCTTCGGAAGCTCGGGTTGAGGGTGAGTTAGATGGGACAGAAGGCCGAGTGATAGATGGGCCCCAGCCGAGTCACCCGCTATTATGATCTAAGTCACCTGTCAGGGAGGGCCAATTTCTCTCCTTCAGCTCACGGGGCCCACGTTCTTACTCTAGAGGGGTGAATATCCAACTTTTCAGTTAGATGTTTGTAGGCATTAACGGCCTGTGTCAGTTGAGACGGATATTTCGTAGCCGGGGCGAGCGCTGGAGCTCAGCCATGAGTGCATTTTCTCGGTCCAAGTCTAGCATTTCACTTACTGTATTCAATCACTACCGCCGAGAACGAGCATCCTTTAGATTTGGCCAGCTGCTCAATCCCATGTAGGATTTGGAAATGAGGTGGGACAGCCGACATAGCATATCCTCCCCCTATATAAGTGGCTATTAGCATGCAGATCTATGCCAGACTTGGTGTGCAACCTACCGTGGAAGAAAAGCAGCACAGCCGTGGCATCCTCCTCTCCAATCCAATACCCCGTGGATCCATCTTCCATCGTTGAAGTCCTGGATGGAAGCGACTTCGACTGGATGAACTTGTTGTATGTGTCTGCGGTGGTTGGTGATGTTGCTCTGCCGACGGGGATCAGTACCTCTCTTGAGCAGAATTGTCCGTCTGATTGAGGTAGACATACTGCATGATTCGTGTTGGCACATATTTTGAATACGCCCTCATGATGGTGTAAAGAACATACTTCTTGTACGAGCGCGCCTGTGAGCTGGACCTGATAAGGCCAGTCACCATCCCCCCGGTTGCGGCGAGTACTGTCAATTTCCTGTCAGCATTGTGTTTCTCTGAGCGGTCGAGGAGATAATCTATTTCCAGCGGTCCCAGCAGTCTCGGACAGTTCCTCCAACTTACGTGTCTTGACGATGGCAGCAAGAAAGACTGCGCGGTCACGTATTGACAGCTTAGTCTTTGGTGTGCTCATCATTACAGCTGGGTTCTGGTTGCTCTCTCACTGACGTTTCTGGAGGTATAATCGAATGTGTAGTGGTGAATTAGGGCTCTCTGTGCTGCAACGCAGGTTGTTTAAAAAGAAACAAGGGAAGTGCGTCCGTTTGACCCTCCCTTACCCGTTTCCCCTGAAGGCCTTTACGACAATCAGCCGGCACTAGTCCGCGGAATTATATGTGGCATTTCCGATCACAACTCTGGCCTTGGAAACACCCGACCTAGAAGCATATGCCCGTGGGCTACGTACGCGAGGCTCTCTTGATCAGATGGGCACAAAGTTCAGTGGGAGATAGACACAAATATTGGTTTCCTTGAGTCAGAACTGTAGTCGATTTTCATGGTTGGGAATCAAGATACGTCTGCGTCTGTCCCGCTATTCTCAAGGACCAATAGGCATAACACCCTCATAGCCCAGTCCCTCTCCTACACCGGCGAGCAGGCAAATTAGCTCGCTCACCGTAAACTTTAATGGAAGCCGCCATCAATAGTGAGGGCGCTGGCTGTGACGTATCGACTCTCGTCACTCAAAAGGTAGCGAATAACATGGGCGACCTCTTCAGGTGTACCTTTTCTCTTGATTGCAGCAGCCGCCATCGGAAATGGATAGCCTTCTGTCATTGGAGTGTCGAGAACGCCACTGCTCAACCAATGGTCAGCAACTTTCCTCTAGAAAGAGTATGAATACAGTCAGGCCTCAAGCAAACGTACGGACAGAGAGCATTCACTCTGATATTTCGATGCCCAACCTCGTATGCTGCGACTTTCGAGATCCCCACCACACCGTGCTTGCTGGCCGTGTAGGCTGCCGTTAATGTGTGGCCCTGCAGGCCTGCAATACTCGCAAGGTTAACAATGCTACCTCCATCCCTGATGACTTCGAGCTGTGTTTTCATGCAGAGAAAGGTCCCGGTCAAATTCACGTCGAGAACGCGGGACCAAACAGCGAGCGACGTGCTGGAAATGCTTGCATACTGGAGAATCCCGGCGCAGTTGACTGCACCGTCAAGTCCTCCAAAGGTTGATACTGTCTGCTGCACCCAGCGCTCCACATCTTCAACTTTGCAGACGTCCACCTGCGTGGTCAAGGGTTTGACTTCAGGATTCTGCTGCTGAATACTCGTTGTAGCTCTTTCCAACCCTTCCAGACTCACATCGGCCAGAGATAATTGGGCGCCGTGGCCGGCTGCCAACTTAGCGAAAGCCAGGCCAATCCCGGAACCGGCACCGACGATCGCGATCACCTTCCCTGCCAAGGTCTTCGGAAATGCCATCTTGTTGGGCCAGTAGATTAAGACGATAGTTGTGTTAGATATCGATAGAAATGCTGATGCTCAAGACAAGATTGAGTACACAGTGGCAGAGATGACATCTGAGGTTCGAAATGGATGGGTCGGGCTACTATTATAGGATTGTCCGGCAGTGAATTTTCAGGACGTAGTAGATGGCACCTACTCAATTCCTCACGCACTACAAGTTCCGTCGCACTCAACGATCGTTCAGTGGTCTTCATACAAGCGCCGGTGCAAACAAGTAGTTCTCAAGCTCAGTCCTGATTGGAGTTTGTATGTGAGGCAACCCTGGGCCCTGGCACTTGCCGGGAGACCCACCTTCCTTCCATGAAACCCGTGGGCTCCTTCCCTTGGGAAGGCTCACTTGCTTGTTTACATAGTTTCCTCTTGTGGCCCTAGACCTCTTGAGACACGTTGATCATATAGATTATCGTAGTCCGAAGACCTTGGGTGTACCGTTCGCCTCCTAGACCGTGACATTTTGTCTGTCTCTTTCCTGGACCATAGCAACAAAGTCCATTACGTCTTTGAGGAAGACCACAGGCTTCTCAAGCGCGGCAAAGTGGCCACCGCTTTCATGATAGCGGTAGAACTGTAGTCGATCTTTCCCGCCTGCCCAATACTCGGCCCACGACTTTGGCGGCGGTGTTGATTCTTTGGCAAAATCGCTGAATCCAAAAGTCTTGCCGGCTGGACTAGGAGGAAATCCAGGAATCGACTTTCCCGGAATGAATACTTCACGGTAGACGTGGATTGAGCGCTCAATGGTGCCAGTGAGGAAATAGAGGGACACGAAGTCCAGAATTGTTTTGATCGGTGGCTTCTCGTCAGCCCACCGCACCAGCTTCTCGCCCACCCAGGCCAACAGGCCGAGAGGCGATGCGGCGAGTGTGAGCCCCGTGGTCGAGGGCACAGTTGCATGGCTGATGGCGTACCCAGAGCCCAAGGTCATGAATTCCTCGATGCGCGCGAGACCTTTTTGCTCTTCTTCCGTCACCTCCAAACCTTCGCTCTGGGGTGGCGGAGTGCCCATCAATAAGTTGACATGCGCCGCTATATCAAGATGAGATAATTTAGTGGGTGAATGGATTGCTTGAAAAGTGTCTGGGTTCGAGAGGCGGAAGTTTCCGAGACTCGCGAGTTATGCTCATCGTCTCTACAAGGTTGGTGTGAATCGAAGTGATGAACTCACCTTTGCATTCGTCGTATAGACTCAGACAGTACCTCGCGACCCCAGAGCCGATATCTCCTCCTTGAGCCACGTAGCCCCTCAGTCCAAGAAGAAGCATTAGTTTGTGGATGATCCGAGCCGAATCTGCCACCTTAAAATCCTTGTCTTCGGGTAGAGAGGAGAACGCGTAGCCGGGCAGAGAAGGTACGACAATATGATATGGCAAGCTTTCCGGCGTGAACTTCTCTTTCAAGAGATCCAGAGTCGCAAAAAATTCCATGACATTCCCGATAAATCGATTGAGTGTGTAAGGAACGCTCTGGCCTTGCTTCGCACGTTTACGGCGAAAAAGCAGAAGAATGGATACATACCTGGCCATCCGTGAAGCATCAGGAGAGGTATCGCGTTCTTGTTGGTGGAAAATAATGCCAGAAAATGGACCTGGAAGACAGTCCTATCATCATCGATGACTTCTGCCATGAAATTTGGGTAGCTGTTGATTCGTGCTTCGGTGGCGCGCCTGAACATAAACTGCTGTGGTGAGTACCAATTTCACCCGTATCTCAACATTGCTGGCATAAAACCAAAAAAAAGGGGGCTTGGAGGAATGCTGACCAGTCATATTCACGCATCCATATGTCCTTTGCTTTCAGAATGAACTCCCTGTCGATTCCATATTGATATCGATGTTCTTCGCCTGTGTGCGTGTTTTCAAATGTTGGAACCGCCACTTTGGATAATCGAATTAAAGACTTGGAGTCATCCAGTTCCTGCTCGCCGACCGAGCAGGTGAAAGGACGAATGGATGAATTCTCCGCAGATGCTGGTAGATTACTAAACACAGCCATTGCTTCGGTCAAGTCGGTGTATATGGATCGTGAGGCGGGCCCGTCAAGACTCGAGAGAAAATCGGTCAATTCAAGATTACAACCGGCTTTGGGCTGTCATGGGATATACTACGGGATCCTTCGTCCTCCTCCACTTCCGTCGGTTGAAACGAGTCGCAGCGATACCACAGGTTCCTGACGAGATATAACCCGGAAATAAGCCCAGCTTAGAGCCATATCCAATTCGTACAAAGTGTAATTCCTCTCCGTTCTCCTGACATCCATACTGGTTTAGGATTAACTTGATTTCTCGATTTCATAGCTTGGAGGATGGCCAAAGGCGTCATTCCAAGAGGCATTGCCTTTGTTACCGGAGGTGCACGGGGGCTGGGAAACGCAGTTGCCGTCTCCTTCGCTCGAGAAGGGGCCGCCGGTGTTGTTTTGGTGGATATCATGGACGAAGAGGGGTTCAAAGCAGGGAAAGAGGCGGTAGAAAAGTATGGGACAGAGGTGAGACGATAATTCACACAAAACCCTCTATGGGTCTTCGGGTGGCATTCTTGAACTTCCTCCAAGGGAAGAACGAAGGCCTCAAACCCTCACCGGAGAGAAATCAAATGCTGACAGTCAGTAGTGTCTTGTGATCAAGGCAGACGTCACGAAGGAAGACCATGTGCGCAACGCCATCGCAGAGGCCGTGAGAAAATTTGGTCGTATCGACTATGCAGCCAACTTCGCTGGCATCGGAGGCGCTATTGGCATGACTTGGGATGTGGCAGTCGAAGACTGGCGTAAAGTTATTGAAGTGAACCAAATCGGCGTTTGGCTCTGCACAAAGTATCAGCTGGAGCAGATGAAGAAGCAGGAGCCGCTCCAAATGCCTGATGCACGACCTCAACGTGGCTCGGTGGTAAATTGCGCATCGGTCAATTCAATCCAAACAGTGGCCATGTCTTCTGCTTACACGGCATCTAAACACGCCGTGGTAGGATTTACAAAGACAGCGGCATTGGAAGCTCGCCAGTACGATATCCGCGTCAATGCAATTTCCCCAGGTTTCTTGAGAACCAACCTCGTCCTCGGCGCCATCCAAAGCCTTGACGGAAGTATCAATACAGCCTGGGAGCAACTCGAAGCACGCCAAGGCAGGGCGGGAGGATTCAATGAGATAGGAGATGCAGCAGTCTTCCTCAGCTCCCCAAAGCTCAGCTTAGTGAACGCACACAATCTTGTGGTGGATGGCGGATTCACTATCAATTATGGATCTAGTTAGTATCTCTTACCACCCGCAATAAGACTTACAGCGACCTTTGATGGACATCAGATTTAAAGAATCGATTCCGCCATAGGCCATGGTTCCAACCGATATAGATGTGGTATGGCCCCAGTGCAAATGTTAAGTTCCCAATGTACTCGGTAGAGAGCGACGACACCTGCTATCCTGTACCTACGAGGCCATATGTGAGAACCTGGCAATAGAGTTAGTGGGTCGGTTCGATCCTCTGAGGCATAATTCCGTTCGCAAACGCACATGTTTGGAAATGTCTGGACCCCCTAGATAGAACGAGTCGTAAGAGAATCCAAAATGGTCAATGTCTTCGCTGAATCGACCTCCATCTTGGCGAATGGAGAGATTCGAGAAGTATGCTCCAGCTCTATCGGTACAGTCGAAATATACATATCTTGGAGAAGTCCCCATAGTCTTTCACATTTCTATCTTACTCCTGCTAGTGCTTGTAAAGGGGCTCTTGAACGTTTCATTTCCATTCGAGGAGATGTCGTCGACATCAGTTTCAACAGGCCTCTGGGCGAAGTATCCAGCTATTAACCAAGTCAAGCGTACTTTAAAGGTGGTCTGTATAGGCGCTGGTGCCTCCGGTCTGCTGGTTGCGTACAAATTGCAAAAGCACTTCGACAACCTCGATCTGACCATTTTTGAGAAGAATCCGGATATCTCTGGGACATGGTTTGAGAATCGATATCCAGGGTGCGTTAAAAGACTGCAGCATGGTGAACCCAACAAGTCTTGGAGATGGAGGCTCTAACCTTAGGCAGATGTGCTTGTGATGTACCTGCTCATTGCTATACATTCTCGTTCGAACCCAAGCCAGATTGGAACGCCAACTATGCTTCTTCATGGGAAATACACCGGTATTTTACAGATTTTGCAACCAAGTATCGCCTCGGAAGATTCATCAAGCTCAACCACAAGGTGGTTGGAGCCATCTGGTCAGTTGACCGCGCCGAATGGGATGTCTGTGTCGAGGACCTCACCACCCGTAAAAACTTCACAGTCTCTTGCCACTGCCTGGTCAACGCTGGAGGAATCCTGAATGTGTGGAAATATCCACCAATCCCTGGTCTGCTGGACAAGTTCCAGGGTACAGTTGTCCATTCCGCCGCCTTTCCAGAAGATCTCGATGTCAATGGCAAGGTTGTTGGCCTGATCGGAAATGGTTCCTCAGGAATTCAAATCCTGCCCGCCATTGCGCCCCAAGTGGCTCAACTAAAGACATTCATACGAGAAGCTACCTGGGTCTCGCCTCCAGCCGGCGAGGAGTTCCGGACCTACAGCGATGAAGACAAGGCTCGCTTTGCCTCTGACCCGGATCTTCACCTTCAGGTGCGGAAGCATGCAGAGGAGGTCATGAACAGCCAGTTCTCCCTTTTCCATCGTTCGTCCGAGGCTCAAAATCAAATTCGAGCCTACATGGTGAGTGAGATGAAGCGGAAGATAAACAATGCAAAATTGGAGAAGGTCCTCATCCCGGAATGGTCTGTGGGCTGCCGCCGTCTGACGCCTGGACCAAACTACCTCGAAAGCTTGTCTCGAGACAATGTTGAGGTCGCCTTTGGGGAGATCACCCACGTATCTGAAAAAGGTCCTGTATTAGATGACGGCAGTGAGCATCCCGTCGAAGTCTTGATCTGTGCGACAGGATTCGACACAACATTCAAGCCACGTTTCCCACTCGTCGGGGACAGTGGGAAGGAGCTCGCGTCCGAATGGAAGGATGAGCCAGAAGGGTACTTGGGGATCGCAGTTCCAGGCTATCAGAACTACTTCATGTTGCTGGGACCAAACTGTCCTGCAGGAAATGGGCCGCTGCTGATTGCAGTCGAGGCACAGGTGGATTACCTTGTCAAAATGCTTTCGAGGTTCCAGAAGGAAAACTGGAGCTCATTTGAGGTCAAGGTCGAGCCGACGAAGGATTTCAACGAGTGGAAGAATGAGTACATGAAGCTGACGATCTGGACTGAGGAGTGTCGATCGTGGTACAAGAGTGGCAGTACATCGGGGAACGTCGTCGCTTTGTGGCCTGGATCAACCCTCCACTACTTGGAAGCAGTCAAAGATGTCAGGTGGGAAGACTGGGATATCAAACACCAGCCTGGCCATAACCGTTGGGAGTTCTTGGGCAATGGTCACAGCACAGCGGAAGCAAGGACACGAGACTTGTCTTATTACATTCGCCAGTACGACGATGAACCTGTTGATCCGTGTTTGAAAGCTACATCTCAGACTGAAGAAGCGGCAAGTGCAAAATCCTCAGGACCTGTCATGTTTGAGAGACCGTTGGAGACTAAGCTCTGAGTCTCACCATGTGAAGGAAATTGGAATTGGATTATCCTCCAGAGAATACAATGCGAGCTGGTCCTTTTGTAGAGAATCGAGATATGTATGTGCATATCTAAACGGAATTTCGAGATTTTGGTATTCTGGCTGACACGACCAAATTGCATAGATCTAGTAGAGACTACGGCAGGTAGATGACATTTCATATCCAACAACCCCTTCAGCTTCTCTTTCTCGTCTCGAGTCTATGATATCGGCTTAGTTAAGTCCAAGTCTTTTGGTGTGACCAGGATCTTGATCTGGTTGTCTTTGTTTCTGAGAAGCTCCTCGAAACCCTTTTCCACCACATCGTCGACCTTGATTCTACTGGTAATCATGCTTTTGGCTTCGTCAAATTTGCCTACCAAGATCAGCAGGAAAGCGTAGAATGTGATGTAGAAGTCTGGCGGTACCGGTAACAAATTCCTCGACAACCTCTCGAAAGTCACTCTCATCATAAGCCAATGATCCATGGAGTCGTAGCTCTTTTCCCATCAGCATGGTTATCGGGACTTTCAGGTCCTGTCTCTCCTCATCAACAATCTGATCAGCAGCATCGGAGCTTCAAATGGGTTGTGTCAAATGAAGTCACTTTTCCAACTCACCGGCTGAGTAATACCAGCCACCATAACGGCAGCCCCCCTGGGTCCCAGCGCTTTGAATCCATCTTTGAAGGCCTTTTCGACGCCAGCACAGTCAACAAGGATATCTACACCGATTCCTCCAGTGTGAGCGAGGCATCGTTCAGCCACATCTACGACTGTTGGATCCAATGCTTCGAGACAGAACCTGGCGACTTGAGCTCTCCTGGTTGGCGATGGCTCAGATACGATAATCTTCGTCACCATCCCCTTGACACGAAGGTTGTGAATGACGCCCAACCCGATCGGCCCGCCGCCGATGACTAAAGCGGTGGTTGAGGGCTTAAAAAGGTCACTGTCGAGCAACTTTAACGCATGCCTCGCCACCACCAGTGGTTCAATGAGTGCGGCCCAAGGGAGGATGGATTCTGGCACGGGATGACACATGTCGGCGTCCACAGCGACATACTGAGAAAGTCCTCCCCCTCCCCCACCGAATAAGCCCAGGAATGCCCACTTCGTACACATGTTCGAGACATCAGAAGTGCACCTGGAACATTGTCGACAGCAGATGCGAGGGTCGACCATGACGGATTGCCCCAGCTTGAGGCCTGTCTTCGTGCCTGGTGGAATTTCAAACACCCTTCCGCAGAATTCGTGGCCCATAGTCACAGGCAGAATGGATCCTGTTGCAACATTTGGTTGCTCAGGTGTTGGAATGGTTATCGGACCTGTTCGACCAGTTACTCACCGACACATTGTCGAACATGGGATGTTTGTTCTTTCATGCCGACTGCTGTGGCATTTCTCACAAGAGAAGTTTACCGGAGACGTATTCATGCAGATCGCTACCGCATATTCCACACCACTCTATCTCAACCAAAACCTGCCCCTCCTTTGTTTGTGGTATCTGTGCATCATCAACGCGAACGTCGCGACGGCCGTGATATCTAGCCGCCTTCATCTTCGATATTCGCTCCTGGGAAGGACTGTTTACGTCTCAGTTCGACTTAAGCTTGGAATCTTCTGAGCAACAAGCACATGCAGCCAAAGAAATGCAAGCTCAGCCACGATCGTTGCTTACGACTTGGGTGTGATAAAGCCTTGGGCAACGATCGTGGCTACACTTGCAGCTCGTTCTCGGCTACCTGTGCTTGTTCCCGGGACTGAGGGCCTTACGTCCGATAAGGTTGTGAAGGGGAATGTACATACCTCGCAAATTTTGCATGGTAGGTTCTAGGAGCCAGCTGAACAGTGAAAACACCAGAGACTTTGTTTTCGGTAATTACGACCTTGACTAATATAATTTGACACAGGGGCATTTTCGGTTTCCGTGACCGTGTCGCAACAAGCTGATGCGACCTTCCTCTGTTCCGAGCACACTTATACCCACGGCCTGCTGTCGTACGCACGTGAGAGAACGGGAAAGCAGATGTAGGACTCGACTTCAGGAGATCTTGATCTGGCTCATGGACTTGTTTGTCAGTTGCTGTTGCGATCATCATAGCTCATTATCCCAATCGTGTCCTCAGCGTTCCACGAAGAATGTCATACTCTGTGCCAGAAGAGACCCGCAAGGTCCTGGTGGAGGGGATTCTGAAAAATCCTTTGATTTCCAATGACCTCCCCAGAGAAATCGAAAACCTCAAAGACAAGGTCATCTTTACGGGCACAGATGAGCCTCTAATACCTATAAATTGGCGTTTTGCCGAGAGCATTGCCTCATTGAAAGCCTTTGAAGCGCTGATGCTGAGCGCTCTAACTTCTCGAAAATATGGCCATCAGCCTTCGAAAATTACTATCAACACGTAAGTTTGATCACATTGGTACCCAAGGCTGTTGAGGTTCACCCGTTGATCCGGGTGCATGGATAGTAATCATGCGTCCTTATTCATTATGAGCTCGGTCATCACGCAAATTTTGGACAAAGATGGCGCCCCCAGACCGTTCAGTCCTTTTCACGCTGAAAGCGGCAAGCTGTTTCCCAGTACGGATATTCATAATAGCGTAAACATGTACCGCCAGCTATCATCGAATATCTACAAAGCCAAAGACGGCAAATACTTTCATACTCATGGTGAGTCTCGTCCTGGAACAAATCAAAGAGAGCGGGCGATGTTGCTAAGCCATGATGCTCGCCATCCCAGGGAGCTTGAATCCGGACTTTACCTTGAAGGGACTAGGGTTGCCGTTGAAGGGCAATGAGGGAGAAGACTTCGACACTGCCGTCTCGAGATTCAGAGCTGCCGTGTCTAAATTTACCTCGGACGAACTGGATGAACTGATGAATGTCCAGCTCCGACAAGCCGGCACAGTTGTTCTGTCCCCAGAAGAATATTTTGCATCGGAGCATGGAAAAGTAAATGCTACGAAAGGTCTGTTTGAGATTAAGCGTGATCCCGGGAGCGCACAGCCGGCGTCATGGTGGCCTGAGAACGAATCGAAGCCCAGTTCCCCCAAACGGCCCCTGGCTGGCCTCAAAGTGGTTGACCTCACCCGCATCATCGCAGCTCCCACGATGTCTCGGGGCCTCGCAGAGTTGGGAGCCAGTGTGATGCGCGTCACGACCTCCACCGAGCCTGATCTGTCAGCTGTCCACCAGGATTTGAACTGGGGCAAATGGAATTGCGATCTTGACTTGCGCAAAGTCGAGGATAAGGAGAGACTGGTGGCGCTGATCAAGGAAGCTGATGTCGTTCTAGATGGATATCGACCTGGTGTGATGGAAAGATTAGGCTTTAGCCGCCAGGCAGTCTTTGACATGGTCAAGGATCGTGCGTACGGTATCATCCATCTCCGAGAGAACTGTTATGGCTGGCAAGGGCCTTGGGCAGAAAGAAGCGGATGGCAGCAAATCAGTGACGCGGTTAGTACCCGATCCTCCCATACGGTAGAGTTAGCGATATAGAGGGCTCAGAGCTGGCGGCGTGGTAATGACTGACCTCTTCATTATGAGCAGTGCTGCGGTGTGTCCTGGCAGTATGGCAAAGCAATGGGACATGACGAGCCAGTTACTCCCGTCTTCCCCAACTCAGACTATTGGTAAGTCCCGGAGACGCGGCCAGGTGGTCTATATAAGAGAGTCCGTGCTGATGTCATTTTTGAATAGCACTGGGGTGGCTGGCACTACTGCGGTGCTACAAGCCCTGTTGAAACGAGCAGAAGAGGGTGGAAGTTATGGTGTTGATGTAAGTTACGCACGAAGCGGCGAAGTCACACCCTGAAATTCCCCCTGACTTCAACGTTAATAGGTACCTCAAGACTAACAATGAACTAGACCGCTCTGAATTACTACTCACAGTGGCTAGTATGTTCTGTGGGAACATACCCTGAGGACGTTTGGTCCAAGGTTTACTCTCGCCACGGATCCCCAGTGTTTCGAAACTACGACAATATGCCTCGACTACTCCCCAGTATGCTGAAGTTGCTTCACACTCACGACGCCTCCGAGTTGTTTAAGCCGTCGTTCTTTCGGGCACAGAAGTCTCACATCCTAGATACTACATTCGTTGTGGTGAGACCGATCGCTCAATACGAGCCCGCCGTTACTGAGCTTGGCTTTGATATCGGTACCAGAGGCAACGGTACGGACGCTCCACTCTGGCCGAAAGACCTCAACGTCGAAGTGGTGAGCACCTGACCTTGACCAACCAAGCCTACCTTGACCATGCTTGCGTGGAATGTATGGTAGGACGGATAGCACTCTTGGTTAGCTAGACATTGAAGATATTTCAGGTAGAATGTTTGTCGATGTAAATTGTTGTGCAAAACTTCCTAAGCCGACGTATCTTAAATTCTGATTATCCATCATGCCGAAGATTTGGACAGGTATTCTGACACAAATCTGCCACCAAGTCCTTTTTTCTGATGGAGAATGTATCTACCAACAAAGAAGACTACAATCGTGAGAGCACCAAGGCTTAGAACCTTGGCGGAACGAAAGCTCTTCCTCTTTCTCTGGTCCTCCATTGTCTCTCCACGCCGAAACCCAATCGAATTCTTGACGGTTAGGTATTTTAGGTTCTTTGCATTGTAAGGTGGAAAAGTGAAAGCCATCAATCTATCCATCCAGGACGGAGGAGCAACCACAGCTCTTGAGTGAGAAAAGCAATCGACTCCATACTTGCCATGATACGCCCCCTGCCCAGACTCTCCGACACCACCAAACGGAGCACCGTGTAGGACAGCGTGGAAAAAGACGTTGTTGATCGTCACTCCTCCAGAGAGGGTCTTGGCAAGGGTTTCATCTATGACAGCTTGGTCATTCGAGAAAAGGTACAATGCCAGAGGATTCGGCAGCTTGTTGGTCCGCTCGATGGCCTCGGCAACGCTGCATGTGATAACAGGAGTAATGGGTCCAAATATCTCGTCTGACATCAGAGAGTCTCCCATGACAACGTCGCGAACGACAGTCGGGTGAAAGAACCGCGTCCTCTTGTCGTGCTTACCTCCATAGGTGACCACGCCGTTTGATCTATCGAGGAGATTTGACAGACGGTCAAAGTGGCGCTCGTTGACGATTCGGCACATATCTCCTGGACCCTCCCGGAGATACTGTGAATTCCAGTATGAGAGCCTCTCGAGCAACTGGTCGACAATTTCGGGCTCGGCAAAGACATGATTGACGCTCAGACAGATCTGCCCTGCGTTCGTAAACTTGGCATAGCTGATTCGCTTTGCAGCAAAGTCGACATCAGCGGACTTTGTCACAATGCAAGGGCCCTGACCTCCCAATTCCAGGACGACTGGTGTGAGATGCTTTGCCGCTGCCGCTGCGACAAAGCGTGCGACCTTGTTGGAGCCGGTGAAGAAAACATGGTTGAAGCGTTTCTCGAGAAGACGTGGCATCTGATCTGCTCCAGCCGTGACCAATCGAATTGCACTCGAATCAAGATATTTCGGTATCATTTCCTTCAAAAGCCTCTCGGAATTGACACTGAGCTCGGAGGGTTTTAGCATGATGCAGCAGCCTGTTCGGAAACCATCCAATTAGCACCATCTCCAGCAAACAGGGCACTGCTCCACGACTCTCTCTCCAAGTGCGTACCTGCGGCAATGGCAGCGATCATAGGCTGGAGTAGAAGCTGTATTGGATAATTCCAGGCACCAATGATTAGAGTCACTCCAAGCGGCTCTTTTCGAAGACGAGCCTGTCCCAAGTGACGCATGAGGAATCCTGCGTCGTCAAGCGGGACCGTCCCTGTCCATTCGTCGAGATGTTTGAGATGATCCAACACATCGGACTTCAGGGTGAATACCTCTGCGGACACTGCCTCGATGGGATGACGATTGAGATCCGCCTTCAAAGCTTCCACAATCCGCGCTTCGTTGTCTTCCAGCATCCACCAAACTTGCTTGAGCTGCCAGCGCCTCCAGGCATGGTCTTTCGTTCGACCAGTTGTGAATGTGGAGAACAGTGTCGAATATGCATCATCTACTTCTTTCACAGAGGAGTAGGTAGCCATGTTGAGAGTTGTCAAAACCGAAGGCCGGGTGACCTAGGCAGCCTGGCATCATATCCCCAGGAACAGGATGTTAGGGGGTGCCGTAACTGCTTGAGGTGTCGTAGGCGTTCGGTCGGTACTTTTGCAATAGGCACAGATTGAACGGAAAAGTCAAAGAAAAGGGACTGGTATCTCCCACAATGGACGACGTCGTCCAAGGGCCGGACATTGTGGGAGGTACCAGAACTCCACTTTACCCCTTACCCGCAGCCTTGCCGCCATGCCCAATTCGGCACGCTGCTGTGTCGTTGTTTAACAACACCGGAGCCCGGCCACAGCACACTCCGCAAATTGTGTCGGGCCAATGACATTGGACTGGTTTGCCCAGCTCCTCTTTGAACAGACCCTGAGCTTCACTTTTGCTTCCGCTTCCGTAGGTAGTCACGCTTAGCAGCCGGAACGATGCGTGTATTTCCACGGGCTGTCTCCCCAGTCCCCACGATGCTCTAGGAGAAACTTCCGACACCTGCGTGCAAAATTTAAATGGACGGAACGCTCGTCTTATATCTCGACATTAGAAGTCCACAGGCTCATGTTCTGCAGATCCATGAATAGTTCCTTTGACTATTGTGTAGAAATTCCACGTTTCGTCAGTAGTTTCAGTCGGAGTGGAGCACAGATAACATGGCTTCGAAACGAGCAGTCCGGGTCGCAAATTGCTCAGGAGTAGCCGGTAAGCGCAACGATGCAATCTAGCTAGACATGGTACTGATCCTTTTGCAGGAGATCCAGCGGATCTCATGCTCGCACAGGCGAGAGAAGGGCAGATAGATGTCATTACAGGCGACTATCTGGCAGGTGTGTACCTCACCAGCATCAACTAATTCCGAGCGACCGTTTAAATCGCGATTTTCTCACTGATGCAATGTACTGGGGATGATCAGAAGTCAACCTTGCTTGGAATGCCGAAGCATTTGCACAAGGAAAGCATCCGGGCTACGCGATTACCGCGGTCGAAGGACTTACCAAGTCTCTAGACTTGATTAACGAAAGGAGAATCAAAGTTATTATCAATGGAGGAGCCTTGAACCCCAGGGGTTTGGCTGAAAAGGTGGTAGACATGGTAAGTCATTTAAATGCACCCAGCCTAACGCACCCACCGCCTTGTTTCTCATTTCGCTTCCCCAGGTTACGGAGAGGAAGTTCGATCTTTCCGTTGCGTACGTGGACGGAGACAACCTGATGCCCCGTGTCGATGAAATTGTGAAGTCCGACGTAAGCGGCCAGCTTCGCCACCTTGACTTTGACAACAGCAACGTCAACTACGCCAAGGATACAGACTCTTTTCTCCACGATAAGACAAAGAAAATTGTGTGCGCGAATGCATATCTTGGTTCTCGCGCGATTCGACGAGGGTTGGTCGAGGGGGCGGATATCATCGTCTGTGGCCGCGTAGCAGATGCTTCTCCAGTCATTGGAGCGGCTCAATGGTGGCATGGCTGGAAAGATGACGACTATGATCAACTAGCCGGCGCATTTCTAGCAGGACATCTGATCGAATGTTCCTTCTATGGGAGTGGAGCGAACTTTTCCGGGTTTACCCGCTACGCCACGAAGGATCTTATTCGACTGGCGTGTCCCATTGCCGAAATAGATGGTAATGGCGACACCATCATCACAAAGCATGATACATTACATGCTGTCATCACAGAAGATGTGGTCAAATGCCAGCTGTTATATGAGTTACAGGGGAATATTTACCTCAACAGCGATGTCAAAGCCGATCTATCAGGCGTGAAGGTGCGGCAAGCTGGGAGCCACCGAGTGCACGTAACGGGTGCAAAAGGGTACCTATAGCCCGGTCATGCTCTGTCCCAGGCGATCACTGCTGACTTGGATATTTCTCCCACCAGATTTCCGCCTCCTCCAACGACGAAACTAGCCCTGTTTTACAAAGGTGGGTTTCAGGGCGAGTTTTCGATCAACGCCACAGGACCCGCGATTTCCAAGAAATGGGATCTGCAAGAAGCGCAGATTCGCTCCCAGCTGGAGGAATGGAACGTTATCAAAGACATCGATCTGCTTGAATTCCAGAGAGTTGGCGTTCCCGAGGTCAATCCAAGATCTCAACTTGCCGCGACGTGTTCGTTGCGAATCTTCGTTCAGGCCCAGAAGCCTGAAACCATTTCCAAGGTATTGCAGGCGTGGTCTTACAACGGCATGCAACATTTTCCAGGTAAGTGACGACTGCAGATTCCTTTGGAGAGGAATGAACAGGTTGATCATTCTCCAACAAGGGAAAACAAAAAAGGCACTGACAATTCTTCAATTTTCCCAGGCATGCATTGTTCTCTCGATTTCCGAAGCGCTGCACCTCAACCATTCCTAGGGTACTTTCCCGCTTTAATTTCTCAGTCCGAGATCGACGAAGCAGTGAACATCCTTGGATATTCAGAAGGTCAGTTTCAAACACGCCGCATCCCCGTTGGTCCCCCGAACCAAACGGAAGTACTGACGGCACGGGACAACTATGACACGACAAGCCCCTGTGACCTTTCCATCTTCGGTCCCACTCGCATGCGGCCGCTTGGGGACATCGTACAGGCGAGGTCGGGTGACAAAGGCGCAAATGTCAATATTGGCCTCTTCGTTCATTCCGATGAAGAATGGGATTGGCTGCGGAGCTTCCTCACCAGATCCAAGATGCAAGAACTCATGGGAGATGATTGGAACGAGAGCTATCACATCGAGCGGGTAGAATTTGCCAACCTCAAAGCCGTGCATTTTGTGGTCTACGGAGTGTTGGGTCGTGGAGTGAGCAGTTCCGCCCGATTAGACTGCTTGGGCAAGGGGTTTGCCGAGTTTATACGATATGTACACGTCCCAATTCCAACGAAGTTTCTGAAGTAGAGAACACATTTTGTGTGGGCTCTTGCAAAAAATTAATTGACCAGGATAAACGCTATCTTCTACAGTCTACCGTGATTGACGGCCACCACGAATCTAGCCGTGCGTTTCACCAGGAAGATTCACGAGGACCGTTCCCAAAGGTGTGCATTGGTTGACAGTAGTGGCCAGCTGCGGATATACCTCAAACCAAGGCTCCCTCATGGCCCAGTTGCTCTAGTCGAAGACGTGTTCTTGAAAACCTTGAACGAGGCACACAGGTTCTCCATGCTCATCCGTCAAGAGATGGGTTTAGACCGTGGGCGACTGTACGGTTAGATATTCGGTGAACAGGCGCTCGAACTTTTGGGGGTTTGCCAAGTACAGCGAAGGGTCCGTGGTCGGTATGTCCCGAAGTTTTAGGAACGCAAAAAAGACGATTAAAACTGGGTGTAGGACAGTTTCTTGTACCTTGTTCAATCGATACCATGTGGGGACATCTTCGGCAGAGTGAGTGACGGGGTAAGTCCTCCACTACAGGCTCAAACATGGGTCAGTTATACCCAGGCTCTGGACGGAACAATATCTTCTGCTTGCATCCCCACGAACATTTGCGATGGGAGGAGTCGAACTTACTCTTTGTAGTCTGTACATGAGAAGGTAATATTTGCGAAAGATGGCATTGAGGATCTCCACGACTGTACTTCCGCCGGCATGGCGCAGGAACAGGTGATCAATGCTGGGCGTGCGCGGTAATTCTTGGGCCAACGGAGCAGATGGATGACGGAAAAGATCTAAATGAGCCTCCCAAAGAGCCCTCGTCATCAGCGAAGAGAAGCATCCGCGGTCCGCCTGGTGCATAACCTGACAGAGCGAGCGGAAGAAGCTAGTCGTTGTCGAAGTTTTAATGCCACAGCATCGTCGTTGTCCTGTAGGCGACTGTCGACTGAGATTGCTACCTGATCCAGCTCACCAAGATGGGTTGATTCCTACATAGAGCTAACCCGAATTCATTCTGCTCATCAGCGATGCTTGATCGCTTTCCGTCATTGTTCTCCATCCAGCGTGGACCGCCGGCGGAAGGGGACGTTGTCGGGTAAGGCCTTGTGGTCTTGTCGCAGTCATGAAGCTATTGAATTTCCTGTTCAGAGCGGTCATCGCACCAGACAGATCCGTGACCATGCCGTGCAGTCTTTTGACCTGTCGCTCCAAGCTTGCGTTTCTTTGCTGCTCTGTCTCCCGCTTAGCACGCACGCCTTGTTGATCAAGCACTCGCTTTCGTTCGAGCTGGGCTTCGGACCGAACACGACGCCTTTTGGATCTAATTCCATTCTTTGTAGCGTTGCAAGGATGTGTTTCTCGGTTGCGTTTGAGATCTGATGTTTGGGACGAAACTGACGTGGACAAGAGAGACTGACTGAAATGGCAAATTAGAGTGTGAGAGACCTACCACCACATATATCGTTTATCGTTAAGAATCTGGGGAACTGTCCCCCCCAATCAAATCACATTCTGTCCTCCACACCGGTACAATGAGTTCGAGGCCAAGAGAAATGGAGCTTTTGACTCATTAGCCTACAGGGCGTCTGTTGCAGTGCCATGTCTCGCTCATATTTTCGAATTCGATTGGGGGGTTGTTCACGACTGGCAAGGAACGACTGAAAGCTGGAAAATTGTTTTTCCTTGTCACTTTATGCTGTATGTACATCAACCGAGTACATAACATTTTTGTACGCTCATGTATCTAGTGGTCAAATCCACCTCGTCGGTTTTAACGACCCATATATACCTACCCATGTTGGATCCATAGAATAACGTAATGAAGATGACCTAAATTAAACAGGGGATCATTGGAGCGTTGGCGCAATGAGCCCATTTTTAGCTGCACTCCCTTCATTCTGTTCTTTAATTACAATCCCTTTGTTACCCAAGATACTCCGCCGTGAACAATGGTTTCAGCAATCTAAATGTTCTGTTACGAGAATAAACTGCCGTAGGCGTCTGGGGAGTGTCCACTACACAATTTTGAACCTGCTGCCCAATGCAAATACCCGCCAGCAGATTGGGATAAGACTGAACAGTATGGCTAGGTATGCGGCCGGGATTGTTAGCTGTGCTATCGGCATCCGTCCTCTTGGACGTCGTTGTGTGTTCAGCTTTGCCCGTTGGCCCCCTCATGAATGCCACTCGGAAATGTCCCCTGCCTCGTGATCAGATAAGTCTGCTCTATTCCAATCTCTGGTGTAGTACTGTTCGACAACCTGCACTCTGTTCATAGACTGACAAAACGCGAATCCTTGGGTCCTCGACAGCGGGTCAGTGTACTAGAAATAGCTGGAGCCCACCATCTTTCCTCCCCTCCTGTCAATCAAACAATCGTACAACAACTCAGGGTCAACCAATGCCTTCAGAGGTGCATGTTCTTCTAATCTCTGGCGGATGTCTTACACCACGACATTTCCAGGCCTTAGCTACGCTTTTGTCTTCACACGGTTACACCGTATCCAATCCCCGCCTAGCAAGTAACAGTATTCTTCCACCCGCGAATTCTTTCCAGATTGACAGGGATCTTGTGCGTGACATTGTCAAAGAAAAGACCGATGCGGGCAAGGAAATCATCGTGGTCATGCACTCGTACGGCGGACTTGTAGGTACTGACGCCATGACTGGGATGGGCGTCAAAGAGCGCAAGGCACGAGGACAATCGGGAGGAGTTAAGTGGTTGGCGTATATGGCCGCCTTGATGCCCGTCATTGGCGAAAGGATTATTGATATACGAAAACTGGAAGAAGGGTTCGTCGAGGATCACACTCACACTCACAGTTTTGTTGTAAGTCTGCTCAAACCTTCCTCAGAGTGTTCTACCTTCGTCGCTAGCTGTTCTCACCGATCTAAAACCCTCTCCTGCAGACGGATCTCGTCCTTTTCCCCAAAAACCCGGCTCCCGGGTTCTATCACGACTTGACAGATCAGGAGCAAAAGATGTGGACGGAGGAGCTGACAGGCTTCTCGCACGATGCTCAGCGGAAAAATTGCCAATATGAAGCCTGGCGCGAGATCGATGTTGCTTACCTTTTGTGCGAACAAGATCGGGCTGTACCACCCGAGGTCCAAAAGACAATGATTGACCGGGTGAGAGGGTTTGGAATTGATGTGCAGGAAACGAGATGTAACAGTAGCCACTGCCCGTTTCTAAGCCAACCTGAGACGGTAGTAGCATGGATTAATAAGTTGAGATAAGCAAAGCACTATCCAATGCGCAAGTCAACAAGAACAGTCACAAAAGACGGATTTCTTCAACCCTTTTTTACTCTCCCCTATGTCCCTGCATGGTGCAATCTGCACCAGCGACAATCAATTTTGGTTATGGTAGGGGCTCTGTGGCAGTCATGATTATGAACTCAAACATCCACGCGAGAACTTTAGAGCCCAAAGTACTAATCTATAGGTATTCCTTGACCCACAGGAGCTTATTGTGAACGCAGTGAGACTGAAGCACGAAGGAAGATATAAATTCCAAGAAATGCAGCTGCGAAGAAAGTTAGATGAATGGGGCTTCACGGACGACTTGGACGTCCTGGAATTTCAATACATTGTGATTGTCACATCTGGCCGCGTAAGGGTTGGGTTGTTCGCAATTGGAATAGGCTTGTATCTCATGTATGAGATAACTTGAACCACGAGACGATTATATTTGAAGACAATTGTGATTTTCAACCAATACCTACGCAGACATACAGCGTCGTGATAAACCACAGTACGTACGTCTTGGATACCCTTGCCACGCTTAATGCAGGTGAATGAACAGGGTTCATTACAGGGCTAAACCGCTCGTGGGACTTGTCGACATGGGAGGGCCCGTGACATACGTATTTGAAAAGCGAAATAAAGAGAATGTGCAGTTGTATGTGTAGTTGGGCGTGTATTTCAGACTTTTTATCTTCAACCAGGGCACAGGTCAATCACGGCTCGCTTGACTCCCCTGCATCTGAGTCTCTGTAACGACAGAAGGCTTCCATGGCGCCGTATGTCGTATACCTGGTCAAAGCCCCAGCTTAGGTAGGTGTCACAGATTGGTATCCACGGGACAGTGATTTCAGCCTCGACCACTTTAACCCAAAGTAATTTCATCTGAGCTGCTTCTAGTAGTTCGTCGCGTTGATCGTGAACCCTCCATCCACGACAAGGTTATGACCATTCACAAGACTCATACGGGGGTTGCACAAGAGAACCGTCGCGTCCCCAATTTCAGAAAAATCCGCTCTTCTTCCCTGGCGCGCCTCGTTCTGGGTGAAAAAATCATTTCCTGTTGACTGCTGCGCATCCCCAACAACGTCGTCTAGGAGGTGTGTTCGCAGGAACCCAGGTGACACGGCATTGACGCGGATACCAAATTGTCGAGCTTCGAGAGCGGCGGCTTTTGTGAATCCAGCCACTGCATGCTTGGACGAGGCGTATCCCGTGGAGCGGGCTCCAGCCTGAATAGATCCAATAGACGCACAATTCACGATGGCACCTCGAGCCTTCTCCCGCCCGTCCTCAAATTCAATAGGAGTCTGCTTCACCATTTGGGCTAGCTCGTACTTCATGCTCAGCCAGACCCCGTCTTGGTTGACGTTGATCACTTTGCGCCATGTCTCGTACGGCATTTCCCAGGTCAAGCCCTCCTTGACCGCGACGCCTGCAAAGTTGGCGGCGTAGTCGATCCGGCCAAATGTGGCTGCAGCTTTCTCGACGGCCCCACGGATTTCGTCTTCCTTTGTGACATCGGCATAGATGGTGATGCACTGGATACAGCTTGAAAGTCAGTCCACAACTCCTCCCAACGCTCTAGTGTACGTTGATGTGTGTACTACCTTTGTGCCAAAACTTTCAATCCCGGCTTTGGCCTTGGCCATAGGCTCTTCGCTGGCCCAATCCACGATGGCCACCGCTGAGGCTCCTTCTTTGGCAAAAGACATAGCGACAGCATTTCCAAGACCTCTAGCACCGCCTGTGACAAATGCCACCCCAGGTGCTACTCGGCCTTCTCTGATTGGTGCCATAGTGAGGATCACAATCTAAGACGCTTGCCTTAGTTTCTCAAATCATAATGCTCTTCACGCGATAAGGGTATAAGTCACGTATATCTATAGTCCTGTTAACCAGTCGTTCAAAACGACACGTGTACCTAGATTTCGAATACAGCACTAAAGGTGCTATCATAGTATAGCTGACAGCCTCAGCAACTCAAGTATCGTCGAAAACGATCGTAGCTAACGCACTTGCTGGCATATGGTCACCTCATGCTGCCGTCGTGGGAGTTCGGCACACCCTACAGGCATGGTAGCTTACAACCATACTCGCGGAGAAATTGTGGTGACCGGGCTCAGGTGGGACTTTCGAAGAGGCTGTACTTGGAGATAGCATTGACACTCCACGGATAGAACACCGGGAAGGAGCACTCAGATGTGGCTAAAGGTCCAGTTGAATAGTGTGATACCGACTAATTCGCGCCCAACCCATGGGACGGATATTACAGTTCACCTATTTATGCGCCAGGTACGGCTTTGTTGCTAGCACGATGAAACGATGATCTGGGAAGATATCATCAAAGTAATCATAGCCAGCCATTGGAGCGGTAACATCCAAGATGAAGGGTTCTGGGTCCTCAGATCTTACGTGCTTATCTGTGTCAAGAAGGTGATGCCTTGCACGTTCTCTTGCCGTTTCTAAACAGAATCCTTTGTTGGTAAGTAGGATGTCCTGCCTGTCGTCAAAAATTCCACTGTCGAATGAACCGAGCCATATCCTCAGCCTGTATTCTGTCCATCGAGTCGAGAACTGTGCTGTGAGCTCTTGTTTCCTTGGTCTCCAAGTAGACACGTGGCTGTTTATCTAGTCCTTGAAAGATATCAAGGAGTTTCAGTGCAGGGTTTCGGTCAATATCATGGAGGGCAGTCACCCTTTGGACCCAGTCGGGAAGACTCACCACCTCCACTTCTTTATACGCGGACTGCACCGCAGGAAGAAGGTCCTCCCATCCACATATTTGGGGATTGGAGATGTTGAAGTAATGTGTCCCGGGTTGTGACGACTCTCGTAATGCCAACTCCGCAACGACTTTGGCACAGTCATCGACGTGTACCCAATCGACGACATTCATGCTGCCAAGGTTTTCTGGCACTGCTTGAATATACCTCGAGCTCTTCATGATTATTGGAAGCCATTCGGTGGTGTTCCATTGACCCTCCTCCGTGGTGGGTCCAGCAATTTGGCCTACACGATATACATCGCAGTCGAGGCCAAATTTGTCGGTCGTAAATTCCAGCATTTTGCTGGCTACCAGCTTAGAAGTCCCATAGCCTCCTCTTGCATAGTGCCACGGCTCGAGAGGCTTTTCAGGCACCGGCTGCGTGGTGTCCTCCCAGCCGGCCACTGCCCCAATGGTAGAAACGAAGCAGAACCTCGGTTGACGAGGGCACGAAAGAGCGAAATTCACCAAGCTCACCATGCCATCTAGTAAGCTTTCAAATCCTTGTAGAGGCGTATTGAAGTTGACCAGCCAGCCATTGTGCACGATTACGTCGCAGTCTCTCAATGAGCGCCGACTCTCCTCTGTGAGGCCCAGATCTGGAGCACCAGGACTGATTGAGACGGAGGAAACCTTCTTGTTCGGAAACGAGCGGGCTAGTGTCTCTGATTTCTTTGCTTCCTCTATGCTGGGAATTGTCCTGACTAAACAGATGACCTACGCTACTCTCTCGTCCTTCAAGAGTGACTGGAGCAGGTACCGGCCAAGATTGCCTGTACTCCCGGTGAGGAGAACGTGTAAATTGGTGCGCCGTTTAGGGAGACGACTGAGAGACTCTGGTGCATGGAGGCGGGCCTTGTTCTTGTTGTAATAATCCTTGGCCATCGAGACAACTTTGCTGAATTGTTCCCCATGTTCGAGCTCCGAGTCGAGGGTCATATTTTTCAAGGCTCGAGCCAGTGAATCAATCGTAGGGTTCGAGTAGATGACTTGTGGCGTGATCCGTATACTGCTGGTCTCTCCAACATATATCCTTCGAGCTAGAGCGGTGACCAACAGTGAGTCCATCCCAAGATTGAGAAGGTTGGCATGGTCATCAATACTTTCAACGTCAAACTTTTCCAGAAAGTAACTTCTGAGGCTGGCTTGGACCTCACTTTCTGAGAATGTTGATAGGTTTACTAGCCACTCCTTCGAACCTGTCATGGCGTTGCTGTACAGGGCGTCAATTTCTCGTTGATAGAGCTCGCTGGTATGCTGCCTCTTGATACTTCGTTTATCGGTTCTAGAGAACCTCTGGCTAGGGTCGAGCATTAATATGAAACTGGAACGGTCAGCGTGTCATTCAAGTACAGGTTGTGGGAACAGACTCCTGCAAAATTTGACCATGCGAAGGGCTCATGGTATTTGCCTGCTGTACCAACTCCCAGATCTCGTTCCGAAGTTGGTTCATGTCACTACTTCCTAAATCGAGATCCTCGATCAGTTCCACGAGTATTCCTGGTTGGAATTTGCCTTGACCAACAACCAAAACACCAGAAACCTTGGGATGTTTTCGCACGATCTCTTCGACGGCCGACGCATTCATCTTCTCACCGGTCGAGAAGACAAGAACTGCGTCTGCTCTTCCCTTCGGACGCCACATATCTTCCTTGGTTGGATGCTTCTCGTAGAGATCCGAAGTGCAAAATTCCTGCTTGTCCGGAAATACATGGAAACAGCCCTGTAACAACGAGTAGCGTTCATGGCGGATAAACACTTGCTCATAGGTCCCAGGCTCGCCTGTCTCACGCATGACCATGCCGTTCATCTTGTATTCTTTGGGCCAATAAATCCATTGCCAGTCTTCGCGAGGAGGTACGCATGACTCAATGAGGCCACATTCACTGGACCCAACCGTGTTGTATAATTGAACAACATGCTTGTTCACGAAATCTCCAATTTCCTGTGAGAGAGCGCCACTACCGGTGCTTACATACTTAAGATTTGCGAGGCACTTAAGAGCTTCGGGAGACTTGCTCATCTCTTCGACTAGCGTAGGAAGAAGCCCGGCACAATCGGCTTCGGAGTAAGTAATGGCCTCCGTCAGCAACTTGACGTTAGACAATGCCCCAGGGGGCCCGAAGACGGTAGGTATATCTCCATATATTGAGTGGATTGGGAGCGAAAGAACTCCACCCATGTGAAAAGGAGGGAAAGTTGTGAAAAACCTCGTTGCTGTTTTCCATCGTGTCAGCAGCCACTCGTGTCCTGGGATCTCAGGCAGGTGGTGCTTTGCATCGATGGTGCACATTTGGCCATTTGGTACTTTGATAAGCTTGGGAATCCCCGTGCTACCCGATGTGTGTGATATAACGTGTGTATCAAGCTTTCCGACATCGTATGGCTTGTCGTATGGATAATGCAGGACAGGGACGGAATCCAGCCAATACCTCAGATCCTCTACTTCAATGGTCTCAAGGCTTTTCTCCAACCCTCGGACAAGATGACGATAGGGCTTGCCAGTTTCTCCTCCAGGGATCAGAAGCTGGCGAGTTTTGCTCGCGGCGAAGAGTTGCTCCATTGCCTCGGAGCTGTTTCTCGGAGATGGGAGGAATAGCTGGCGAATTTAGCATTTGTCCAACTCCATCAACTGCCATGTCGAAGTCGGACTTACTTGAACACCAAGCTTGTTCGCGGCGTAGATGAATATAAAATAACGAATATCAAAGGGCCCAAGGTATGCCACAGCTCCATTTGCCTCGGGAATCTGCACTCGCTCCTTCATCCACCAGGCAGCACGATTAACGGCATTGGCAAAAAGCCGAAAAGTGACAGGCCAGAACCCATCAGCGAGGCTCTCGCTGCGTTGAAGATAAGCCACAGGCTTATCAGGCTCCTTTCTCGCCCTCTCATCAATCACAGTGGGAAGTAGCCGGCGACCAAACTGCGGGACGTCTTCTTGGCTGGCCTTCGATGACATGTTGACGCCGACTGCCGGGATTCTGAGGAGAGATTGATCTTACAGAGACGTTTGCTGGGCAGGTGAGAGTCTCATGCACCAACTTTCTCGAAAAACTTCTCAACTCTATCTGATTTTGTCCATGATATCAGTTGTTGTACTTTCAAACAATTCCGGAAAAGGTGGAAACTATCTCGCTACCAGCAGGGCTGGTCAACTTTGGTCGGAAGGGAGCCTTCGGTTACCACCACCCTGCGGTGTGGCTGCGAATTGCCGTGTGTTCAAGTCATCTAGTATTAGTCGTTATTGTCACCGTCGGAAGCATTCAAGCAAGGGTCAGAGTTTGACGAGTCGTGGGTGCCAACAGACTTTTTGAGTCTCTGACCTCAGTTTGTCCACTAAGAGGGGTCATATCGTTCTATGTGTCCCACTTTTAGTCTAACCCTTTGGTGTTCAAGTGTGCACAATCTCTGGGGGAAGGACGTATCGTTGGGCGATGACTGCTACCCGGCGCCACGGTGTCAGCATCAGCAATGTGGGAACAGCAACGAGCGGTCCCCCGGAGTTTTGGCGGCAAGTATTTCGCCCAGGGGGGTTCAATATGTCGCCAGGGTACCAAGACTCTAGTGTCCACCTTCCTTAGACAGGTAGTTATTTCAATACACCGTCTCAAATACGTTACCCAAGCTTATCTAAGTGACGATCAAAATAGACGCTCCTAGCCTCTAGGTAAGTACGAACGGCAAGATAAATTCGTGAGGAACTCCTGCTTACCTATAGGCGTATGGAAGAGTACTTCTAAAAGTGTCGATTAAGCACTAAAGGACGATCGAGAGGTGCCTATGAGTGTTGAAATTCTGATTACGAAGATACGGAATCTTTCTTAAACGGGTTAGACTATAATATAAGGTTTCATAAGTCGCAAAAGTGTTAGACGCCCTGGCGAATTACCTGTCGCCCAGAATTTTCTAGCCCGTGTAGGAAAGGGTCTTCCCGTTCAATATCCCTTTGGCACTAGCTCAGTCTCCGTCCCACTTCAAAGCTTGTCAAACAGCTATGTGTACCTCGTATGTAGAGCTCTGTGGTATTTGCCAATGGGAGTATAATATGCTATAGCCGCCATTCACAATACTCTCCCGCTTTCTAATAGCAGTCCACAGCTGGTTCAGTGCACCCTCCTGTACCGTGAAGACATCCATGAAGAAGTTCAAGAAATCTCTGTGTGTGACCTACGAACCCATTAGCTTGGAACATGGTATTTCTGAGGTTTGTTTCCACCCGACTGGGGTGGAGGGACGTTGAATTGAATACCATGGCTAGGTACAACTTTGTACGCTTCGGACGAGCCGTTAACAATTCCACATTGGAGTTGCATAACTAATTTCTCGTTATGCGAGAATGGTCGTTGCGCACGACCTGTACACCACCAAAATGCTTGCACGCGTGCAACTTCTAATGGGCGAAATGGTCCTGACAACAACCTCCAACCATCACCATGCAACTACATCCATACATAAAACCATGGAGATCGGAACAAAGGGAATACTCTTATCCGTCTGCATAACTTATCATTCCATATTGCTTCACACCCCTAGCACGAGACTTGAATAAATGATCGGTTGACTTTTTGCCCTGTCCCCACCACGAGAATAAACATGCCTTTCGCAAAACAGCATAAGGTTGTGCGACCAGAATTCACATCAGTCATGGATAGGACATTCACGTTACAAATCGTTCATACAGTACTGTATCATATGGGGAGACAATATGACACTACATTTCTTGGTCTGATATGACGGCACAGTGCGTCCCAAGAAGCGCTCAAGGAGGAGTACCGTTTTAACATGTATTTCCGCAGCATCCACACAGTTGTGAAGTAGTGGGATCAATGATTCAAAGCAAGAGCTTCAAAGAAATAGTCAATCTGTTGTCGATATTTATCTACCATGAGTATTAAGATGCGGGGACAATCCTCAACGGCGTTCGGCCATCTAGTGCGACGGAGATGTCGGCCTTGCCCTTGCTATCAGAAGTAAATGCGTCACCGTGGTTTATCAGGTATGTCGAAGTAGGTCTCAGCTGCTCTATCTTGAGCAGAGAAGTCTTCTTCTCGGACCCAGGATATAACACGAGCTCCAAGTCGTCTCCTGTGTGCGAAATGGCTTTTGCCACAAGCACCTAAGTGTCCGAGTGTTAGCAATCATGATGACCAAGGGCTCTTCCAGGCTTACCTCAGGGTATTTAGCATTGGCGAGATAGGGACCACGCTTGACGGCATCACCGACCGGCTGCAGAAACTGGCTCCAGCCAGACCTCAACCAGAGACGAGCGCGTAGAAGTTGACATCTCATGAACAACGAAGCTCCGTCGTACCAGACTATGCCGTTCTTTTCTGTGCGCTTCAGTGCCGGGTCATTGTCAATCATGGTAGTGACCTGACGAGCGACAGCCTCGTCCCCATGCTCATGTGCTGCCATCAGGCTAGAAGCAAAGACCAAGGCCATCGAAGATCCATAATTCCCCGGATCTAGCCTGTCTCCGTTGTAGATGTTTTTGAATGAGATCTTCGACTGCGAGTCAAATTCCATGTACTCATGACGGGCGATGGCGTAGCATCGCAGGGATAGAATCGGAAAATTCGCTCCAGCTAGACAGGCAACTGAGAACTCGTTGGCCGCCCCAATAATATTGGGAAGACGAAGTCCTGAATGTAAATTTAATCAGCTTGGTGCAGTTTTCTAGGTTCATTTTTCTTACCTGTTAGGTGGGATCGAATCGGATGTGCGCTGCCGCTTTCATCCTGGGGAAACTGTTAAGAGACTCTTATCTTGCTCCAGACACCTCGAGAGTCTTACCAGGAAATCCTCTATCAATCCTTTGTGAAATGAGTCCCATACTTGCTCTACATCTTTCCGACCCGTATTATGATCGTGGGCTAACAACCCATTGAGCCCGGTTAGATTACAGAAGGTGTAAATCCAGTTCGGCTTAAATCTGTCAGGTTGCATGGATGGGACAAAAGGGCCTCGACTTACCTCGCACGCATACAAGCAATACGATGAGGTACCGAAGTTGTCCACCAAAGCCTGTGCCATTGTCTTGGTCGAATGTTTATACCGATGGCTGTCATCAATAACGAGTTCGACAGCATCATCTTGAGAAAAGGTGGTGTCGCCCGTTGCACTTTCATAGAGGCACATGGCAAGAAGGCAAAATCCCGTCAGCATGATGTTGTCCTTTTTCACAGGCTCATAGTCGGTGGTCTGTTCTTGTGAGACTCCTTGCATGCCACAATCCATGCGCCATGACTTACTAGTTTACCCCAGAGGCATTCCCACTTCCAATAGTTGAGTACTTTCTTCTGACAGTACTTGTATAGCACCTTTTTTTGTGCATCCTGAAGATAGCTACCACGGAACGAAGGTGTATACAGCTTATTTGCCAGGGCCAGCACATATGAAATTTCGTTTAACTGGTACCGCAGCGACGACGTCTGGAATTGATCAATCTCGTTGAAATTGGTCCTGTAGTCTGGGTCAACACATGGCACTGGAAATTCCCTCACTTTTGTCTACTCACCAGTCATCCTTTTCTTGGAACGCTACCTCCAAGATGTGTCGAAGCTGTGCTAGCTCTTCTGGTTGCAGTTCGAGCTCGGCCGAGGACTTGTTGGCCACAGCCGTGGAAGTTAGTTCCTGGATGGTTGTGGGTAGATAACTATTTCTCTCCTGGCGTCTTCGGCGAATTGTGCTCGATTCATCCTGCAGGAATCGGTAGATGAACCAAATGCTGATGCAGCTGATAAGAGGCACAAGCACAATGCTGTATCGGGTTCTTGACTCGATCGGTAGGATTGGGAAAATCAGTGCTTGCCCTGGCCAGGCCAGGAATGGCAGGATGATGTTGCCGGTTGCGAACCAGAGAAACAGGCTCACAGGAAAGAAGATGCTAGACGGGCGACATGAGTCCTCTGTTGCCGACACGCCATGGAGAAGCATGAAGGGGCTTACAAATTGAAGACAAAGGCCAGTGTCCACCACCCGCCGAGACCAATCCAACCGCCTCCTGGAAATAGGACTGCAAGACCAAAGTATTGGAACCTAGAGCCCGGATCCGAGGCAAACGAGGCCAGTGCAAAAACTGCAAGACCAACATACGTTCTCAACAAGGGTGAGCTAAACGCGCTGGACGCCGTACTGATACCAGCATTGTCCGGTATGTATTCGGCAATGTCTTTGGCAACTTCATTCTTCTCTCTATACTGTTGAATCATTTTTGCATATGGGTGCAACTCAGGTAGAAATTTCTGGTAACCACTAACGCTGACACCGAGCGCTTTAAAGAGATTGTGCTGCAGAAACGCGAATGTCACAACCGACTCGTTGCGGATTGGCAGCCACGAGAGGGCTATGATAGACATAGGCTTCCTTGTGGGGAGATGCTAGATACCAAGCCGACGTACGTAATGACTCGTTTGTCATATGCATGATTTACCCTCAATCCCGGTTGGAGTTACTTCCTAGATGCTTACACCAGCTGAGTACTCTGAACGAGGCCTGAAGCTACTTTCTAAATAGTTACGCCAACCGACTGCTCTTGACCTCCTTAATCAAAGAATACTGTCATGCGGCCTTCGTCGACCTGGCCCGAAGACATCAGAGCCATCATTTCGTTCAAGTCCTCCAATTTGAAATTTCTGTGATGTACTCGTGGGTATATGGATAGCCTTTGACAGAACTCGAGGCATTTTGCGGCAGATGCTGCGTTCGGTACGCGTGCTCCAACTACACTAGAAGCTATTAGCCTACCTCAAGAAGCCGGTGTCGGACCAAGAACTTCTGTTTTCTCTTTCACATACCTGAGTCTGTTGTCTGACATCATATGAGCCGATATCTCGACTGGTTTGAGTGGGAGCCCTAGGACGATCATTTTGCCATATGGCGCCAGCAGTGGCAAGGCGGAATCATATGCAGCTTTGGCGCCCGAGGTCACAAAGACAGCGTTGAGGAGATTGCCACCGTTCAATTCCTTCACCCTTGCAGGGAGATCTGGGTGTTTGCTTATGTCGATCGTCTCGATGCCAGGGTAGTATTCTGTGCACGCGGTGAGTTGCTTCTCTTCCACATCCATAGCTATCACTTTGTGCCCGAGTGAAGTCAGATAGGCTGTGGCAACCTGGCCCAGGCCACCCACGCCGATGACGCCGACCGAGTCGGTAAATGCCAGTTTCGCTTGCACCAGACCATCCCAAACCGTGATGCCAGCACAGAATATTGGTGAGAGTCGCCTGTCTGACCCCTGGAGCGGCGTGTCGACGCCAAATTTGCGGGAAATCAGGACTGCACTCGCTGCGTCTACCGTCGTGTACTCGCTGAAGTAGCCTGGCGCGTGAACACCTTTCGCTTTGAGGTTGACGCAATACTCGTACTGGTCAGTTTTGCAAGACCAACAGTCCAGACAGAAATCGCACCAGAGAGGAGCGCCAACCAGGTCACCAACCTGGAAGCCCCAAGGGGTGGCTTCTTCTGGGACTTGCACCACGACACTGACCGCTTCGTGACCCGGAATCAGGGGAAACCAGTGTGTGCCGACATTGCCGCTCATAACCGTCAAATCTGTTTGACATAGCGATGCTGCTTTGACCTTGACCAGAAGGTGCCTGCCTGTCGGCTTAGGCACTGGAATATTCTCGACTACACAAGTAGCAGCTGCCTAATTTATGGTAAGAGTCATAGAGCAACCCAACTAGATAACATGAAGATGTAAGCATACCTCCTTGCAAACAGCCGCTTTCATGGTAGATGGGATCACCACCTCCACAGCGCTATCCTGGCCCTGGCTAGTCATATCTATTGTAAACACCGCCAAGCTTGAGAACAGGATGGTATAGATAGAGTAAGGACAAGTAATGGACAGTGTCTGAAGTGCCCAACTAGTATGGAACTTCGTAGCCGTTGTTTACTGTAAGTGATTGAGGTATAGGCGAATCTAGTAGGCGTTGGCTGATATATCTTATGAAGGATTTGCTGTTTACTAGGATCGGACCGGGGCGTGTGTCTGCTGTGATGTATTTGAGACCTTGTGCCTAAAGACCAAGTCTTCTGAATCTACGTTATGTCGCCGTATGCTCGGGGTGCGGAATTGTTCCCAGATCCCGAGATGCATTATCCGTCTAGCTCGTTGGCTGGAGCCTCACCATAGGACCCTGGGATTTGGCTGGTAGTGTGTGTGGTAGAACCTTGCAGGTCGATTGCCTCTAGACTCTTGGAAAGGCTCGAGTCTAGGTCAGTCCACCCAAACTCAGGTCCTGCTGGTCATGCTACACGACAGAGGTTGTATTTGGCCCATGAAATTCAGAGGGTTTGGGCGTTACGACTCGTTCGTCGACGCCGCTTCCTCTGCCACACCACCGCTTTCTTGCCTTCTTCTAGAACTGACAGGCCCACTTAGTCATCACCTGGGACTTTTGGTGAATGGTTTATATCGGAACATTAGCACGCTTCACAAGATCACTGCTGTCGATCGTACCATCTCATCACCATGTCGTCGAAGGTTGAAGTCATCATCGTCGGTGGGGGCGTCTCCGGACTGACGTTTTCTCATTGTCTGCGAAAAGCTGGCCTCAGCTATGTCGTTCTCGAGAAAGGGTCCGAGATATGCTTTCATGGAGGCGCCAGCATCGGCTTGATGCCTCATGGATTGCGGATTCTCGATCAGCTCGGCTTGTGCGACCAGATCCTGTCTTTGACTGTCCCGGTAGCCACGTCAACCAGCCGATTGTCAAATGGAAAGAAGTTTCGGCACTCGTATCTTTTGGCAGAGCTTGAAAAAAGGTCAGCATGTGGCACACGATTGTTCTCTTTTGCTGACTTGGCACTGCCACTGACAGACACGGCTACCCAACAACTTTCTTCGAACGAGAGGAGTTATTGCAGGTACTTTATCGAAATATTCCCGACAAGCAAAACGTCAAAACCTCACAACAGGTGACCGGCATTGAACTTGGCGACAATCAAGTCACGGTGGTGACCAGGCAAGGGCAAACCTGGCAAGCTCCCATTGTGGTCGGGGCAGATGGGATCCACAGCTTCGTTCGGCAGGCTATATGGAAAGAAATCGAACAAAAGAACAAAGGGGCGTCATTAAATCAATCTCAATCTATCATGGCGGATTACTACTGCATCTTTGGCGTGTCCGTTTACAAAAGCGACGACCCCGAATTCGGCGAAGGGTCTGGTCACGCCAACTTTGACCATGAGCGGTCTACAGTCGTGGTGAACTCGTCTAGGAACAAGCACTTTTGGTTTTTGATCCTCAAGTTTGACAAGCGCCAAAAGTATCCCAATATTCCTCGCTTCGGAGACAAAGACATGGAAAAGACGGCAACTGAGAATCAAGACTTGATGGTCACGGAACACACTTCCTTCGCCCACCTTTGGAGGTTACGCACGAAATGCGCCATGGTTCCCCTTGAGGAAGTTGTCTTCGATGTCTGGTATGCCAATCGCATGGTGCTTCTTGGTGACTCGGCTCACAAAGTACGTTGCGTCGGTCCCGAAGGAGCCATATTACCATGGACGGCCACTGATGCATCTTTTAGGTCACTCCGAATGCTGGGCAAGGCGGCAACTCTGCGATTGAGAGCGCCGCAGTTTTGGCAAATCGCCTTCACAAAGCTAAACAGACGTATGGGAACCTGGCTGCAATGCATACAACCTCAATCACGAATCTGTTCCAGCAATATTACTCAGATCGCAATGGAGTCAAGGAAATGTCCCAGACGTCTGGATTTGTCACTCGGCTGCACGCGCAAGACAGCCGGATGCTGAAGGTAATTGGAAGACACATATTTCCCTTCCTGGGGGACAACTTCGACCTCAATGCGATGTCCAATTATATGATCGGAGCCCCTACCCTTGATTTCGTCGAGGTAAAGACTAAGCCCGCATCGATACCGTGGGAGGGATGGACGATCCCAAGTCCTACTAGCTCTTCGAAAGAAGGTGGGCCTTCTGCCTTGGGGACTTTGACCACGCTGGCGATCCTGGGCCTGTTTCTGGGTTCGTGGACGTATGCCCGAAAGGAAGCAGAGCTTTCAGCAATCCCCAGACTCAATTCTAGCATTTTGAGTACAGCAGACAACCCATCACCTTCCACAATACTCCCATCGCTGGTTTCGGAAGAGCCACAGCCCTGGGCCGACCTCGCCATCCTTCTCAATACTCTCCCCATGGCAGCCATCATTGCGTCCGAGAGCTTCCGAGTCAAGAATCTAAGTCTAGTTTCTGCCATGTAGGAGGTTGAACTTTATTTTGAACCGTCTGTCTGCTGACTGGATAGACAGGCCCTTGATAATAGGCTCAATTTTCCTCATTTGTGGACTCGGGTCAGGAGGAATCATCTATGTCCTCCTCCGAATCATCGAAGCAATCTTCACAGGATCAGCGACTCCAACACCAGGGGGTTGTAGAGTAGCGCTCAAGCACGCGAAGGCGCTCTTGCCATCGATGCTAGCTGCTATCTGTGTTGCTCTGTCAATCATCATCGTCCCTCTCATCTGGCCGGATCTGGATCCAAAGAATTATATCAGCGTGTCGAACATTCTCTCTTTCTTTCCCATTCTTCCATGGTTATTCGACTTAGGACTGTCGAGACTCAACTCGGCACAGGCCAAGTCTGGCGAAGTCATGAAGGCCTACGACGATCTACCACATCTCCAGAGGGGCTGGCTACTGTCCGGGTTCTGTGCAATGGTGGCCCATGTGGCATACCTTGTCTCTTATGTTCTCGCTGGGAATCGATTAGTCGACATCAACACTGCACGAGCAGTACTCTCAGGTTTCCACATCTTCAAGCATTCCTCCATGGACGCAGAGTTCTTGGTTTTCACCATCAGTACCCTTATCTGGGTGTTAAGTGCTGCCGTGGCCAACAATGACGCCACACGTAGCCTGACTACCAAACTAATCTTTTCCGCTGTAACTGTTGCGTCTGGTGTCGTCATTGGACCTGGAGCTGTTATATCAATTCTGTGGGTTCTGAGCGAAGATGGACGCAGATCAACAGCTTAACTGTCAGATCCAATCACTCTCGAGGCACGCAAGACTTCTAGGCGCTCAAGTCCAGTGGATGTGGATGAGGATAGCGAGGTTTCACTTCCCATGGCCACAAGAGGCGTCTCAGTTCCGACAATTGCAGTATACATTGTTCTGGATGATTTGGCCTTGTGTTACTGGGTCTTAGCATGATGGAGCTGTGCAGTCCTGAAGCCTTCTCCCTCACAAAACGTATGGAAGGAGTCACGCGAATGCGAGTCAAAATAGTTGTTTAGAGGCCCTAAACACTTTGTGCTTCAACCATTAGAAACAAAACTAGCGATACACTACTTGCAATATTCCCGTCTTTTTACCATGGACAGGGAAAGTAATTGTAACTAACTGAACCACACTGTGGTGACGAGCATCAGCTTGCGTCGGTCAGACAGGGAGACATTCTAGGGCGTCATTTTCCTCCTGATTTCGAAAGCTCATGGAATGTTGTTAATTCCAGCCAACGAAACCCTCAACAGTGAATGGAGACAGCAATTTCTGAACCCAGTATAGGATATATCGATATAGCCCGGCTCATTTGAATTGAGTAACATATTCCGCCTGAGAGAGTTCCGGAACTCGTAATCTCCTCTACGAGTCGTGCGATTCTATCGATGCTATGCTGCCTTCTCTCGACTCTTGGCTCTAGAACGATCCATACTCCCCTTCCGGTTCCCCATGGGGTGGGCAGGTCAGCGAGGAAGTACAGGTCGTGTCAAAGTGAGTATATATTCCGGGCACTCGTGCCACGTAGTCTTCCACTCTTGGGAGATCTCTTGTAAAATGCTTCATCTGCTGGGCATCCCTATTCAGTAGTACCCTCCATACATACTTGTTGTGCTTTTCGCCCCTTCAGAAATGTCTTTTTCCAGTGTTAATCCCACCTCGCCGGATCCGGAGATGTCAAAAAGCGGTTCGGACCGCGATGACTCTAACGTGGACGCCATCCAAATCCCTCAGTCCCGCGCATACAAGATCAAGCTGTGGCTGGCAATCGCCTCTCTGATCTTTCAGTGGGTGGCCAGCATGGGCACATTCCTGTGCATCGCTCCCATTATCGACTTAATCAACCAAGATATTGGGCCAAGAAGCTCCACCGCGTGGGTGGCATCTGCCTACACTGTGGTCTCGGGTGTGTCGCTCATCGTTGCTGGAACGTTGTCAGACCTGGTGGGACGGAGGTGGTTCGCCGTCGCCTCCAGTACGGCACCGATGATAGCAGGCATCATCGGTGGAACGGCCCAAAACATGTCTGCGGGTGAGTTACAACCTCCTTCTTGACGACTGGCTTGCCCTGACCCTCTGGAAGTGATTGCGAGCACCGCCATTCTTGGGATCAATGGCGGTTTAGTTCTCAATGTTTTTCCTTGCATATCCGAGCTGGTCCCAAAGAAGAGCAGAGGCTATGTCTTTGGAATCTTGAATGCTGCGGCCATCTTCTGGGTCATGTGCGGCTCTCTGATCGGACACGAAATGGCAATCCACAGCTCTGTGGGTTGGAGAGGACTGTTTTACATGACGATCGCCCTCAACGGTGCCGCCACCCTCTTCACCCTCTTGGTCTACTTTCCCGATAAGCCCCTGGCCACTAGAAATATGTCCAAGATGGAGATTGTGAGAGACTTCGATCGCGTTGGTCTTCTGGGTCTCATGGTCAGTCTCAATAAATACTGCACTTCTCTTATGAATTGTATCCGACATTCCTATTGACGACTTTCCCAGGTTGGACCGACCCTTTTCTTCATGGGAATCATCTGGATCAATGACAACAGCCCTACGAGCCCAAAGTTCCTGGCGCCCTTCCTTATTGGTATTGTCTCGATGATTGCCCTGGGATTCTACGAGGTTTATTGGGCCAAGAATCCCATCCTACACCCAGTTCTTTTTCGACAGATGCGGACTTTCACCATGCTCATCGTCATGACATTCGTTGGCGGGATGCTTTTTTACTCCCTGATCTCATTCTTTCCTATTTATCTTTCGGCCCTCTCAATGGCGCTGACGGACGCCAAACGGGAATTGATGGCATTCCGTTTGGAGCCGGAACAAACCTCGGGGGCGCTGGCTCCGCCATCTTGCTGCCTCTAGTTGGGCGCAAGATCGGCACCAACAACATGCTTGTCGCGGGAGTGCTGTTGCAGCTCATCTTCATTCCCCTAATGTGCGTCCCCAGTGTGACACAGAAAGGAATGGCGCTTGCATTTTCATTCTTCGGAGGCATGGGTGAGTCAAGCATTCATTGCGCCTCCGACACCCTCGCTGATCTCGCAAAGGCATTGGAGTCGTCGACCTCCTCCCAATTCTACTTATCCAGCTCGCCTCGCCAGATAAATGGATTGGATTTGCTTGCGCCGTCCTAGGCCTGTCTCGATATATGGGCGGCTCCACAGGAACAGCGATTTATCTCACAATCTACGAGAACAAAGTGAAAACGTTGATACCCAAGCGAGTCGCGGCGGCTGCACTTGCGGCTGGCCTTCCGTCTTCCTCGCTGCCCAGCTTTCTTGGGGTGCTCACAGGTGCAACCCACCAGCCTTCATTGATGGCAATCCCAGGAGTGACGACGGCCATCGTCGAGACATCTACACTAGCGATGAAGAACGCCAGTCGGGAAGCATTCAAATATGTCTGGCTTACGAGCATCCCGTTTGGGGCGATTGCGCTGATCTGCGCCTTGATCTGCAAAGACGTAGGTAGTCTTGGTCCCACAGCATTTGAAATTGTATTCTAACCAAGAGTTCTAGCAATCAAATATGCTCACGGACGAGGTGGCTCAACGCCTGAAGACAGACGAACTTGAGATACAGGTCCAGGTTGAGACGGGGCTGGAAAAAGGTGCCTCTGAACACTTTGAGAGGAAGAACGAGGAAGTCACTTCCACAACCGAGGCTGTGTGAGGCCCGCCAGATCCCAGATGCATGCGGCTGTCGTAACAAGAGCGATGCGGTACGCGTTGCTGTCACAACGAGCACTTTGATCTCTACACTATAGCGCCTCACACTCGTTCAGCTTACTGTCTAAGCACCCTCCACTCTCACGAATCACAGGTGGAACGAGTGGAGAAGGTGCGAATAACAGAATATCAAAACATACCTCCTTTCATGCATTTGACCTTAAATTGGACAATATGGGTTCCGAAACGCCTTACATACACAAGAAATGCAACGAGAAAACCGATAAACGTTAGCTATATCAACAACGTCTGGTAGGGCATTTCCATCCATTTGCAAGCTCGTGACCCTGGAGGGGTAATCGATAGACCCTCTGATATCCTCGACGACAGAGATAGAGAAGCAAAACCTACTTGGCTGGTGAAGTGACTTTCATTCAATAGGAACAATTTGCTGAGTATGGACCAGCAGTTCTGACACTGATATAAGGCTCCTGGGTTTAAGGAACGTATGGACCACACTTCGGAAGGCTTGAAAAGCACAGACGCTGCCTAGTCTATCATCTAGAAGCCGTGTGGTATTCAGAGTCAGCCTCAGGCGCGTCCCAAGGTTGAGAGGGTGCCATAAAGCACTGCTCCTGTACTTGCATTGCTCCCAAGCTCAGGCTCTCCGTGGAGTCACATACATGTAGAAGAGGAAAAGAAGGATTGAAATACCTGATCTGAGGCGGCTTGAGTACTAATGAACCATTTACACTGATAGCAAACTGGCCTGGGTCCGGCGTCCACTCGCGCAAGACGCTCCTCCACCCTAGGTAGGAAGACTTCGGCTACGAAGTAATGCCAGAGATTGAGGAGAACATGCTGGGATGGATGGGCAACGGTATGACTATGGCTCAGAAGAATAAAAGCATTTGCTACCGAGTATCTGGAGATCAAGTAGACAATTAACCGGCCCACCCCTGTGCACCCGGAAATCAGAGTCTCGTTCCTCCGGCACTTACAATAGAATGGGACCGCCACCGCCAACGAAAGCGTCAACCCGTGGGTTGTGACCGGTAGCGGAGAGGTGCATGTAGCATCTCTCGTTGTCTTTTAGATCAAAATGGGCTGTTCAGTGTGAAATCCGGGCCCCGATTAGATAGAAAGCACTGCCCTCCAGAAGATTAGACCAAGTTCCTATAGGCTGGAACAGAGGTTTTTTTGCAAGAATCTCGATCTGTCCAACAATTTGATACATGTGGATATATAAATATATCCATTGAATTGCAGAATCAGCCTACTTGTAGACAGTAGGGCGCACGCCTGCTCAGACCGGAAACCAGATATTTGAAGCGCTAATACAATTATAGTCATCTAGTACTTGTGGTGACCACGGAAACGTGGACGTCCCTTCGCACAATGAGGGGTCGAGCCTGTAAGACTGATTGGGCATGTCTGAGAGGAGGGGATTCCAAGTTGGATCGCGCAAGGCCTCCTTATTGGTACATGGAGCCGTTCCCTGTCGCGGTGTTTCGAGCGTTCTCGCGTTTTCTGATTCTGATAGGACCTGCGGGATGATGGCTGGGATCACTGGTGCTGTCGTGTCAGTCGCACAACTCGAGCTTGCCAATTGTCCAGACTGCCAGGCAAATACGAGAGGGGGCGGCACCGACATCGGTGACTCGTCGAAGGAAAGGCCGCCTTGTAGAGAATCATGGGAACCGCTATGGTTCGAAGTACCGATAGACTCTGGTCCACCGCCATTGATGCCGTTGCTCAACAGGAGAGCTTCTTCGGAAGAAGTGATGGACACCGCCGTCGGCGTGTCAGGCTGCCTTGTGGGCTCGTCAACAGCATCTAACATAGATTTGGAAAGTCCATCCATTTGCAGCTTGGAGCTATAGAGACCGTCGTTTCGCGGTTGCCTCTCATCCGGCCTCCTTGTATTGACGAGCCCTGCCAGCTCGGGAAATTCGACGGCGAATTCGTCCCTCATGCTAAGGCAACTCATGTCCTGGAACCACCGCTCTGCGGTCGGCGTCAATCTGATATCGCAACAATTAAGGTCCGCTGCCAGCATTTAATAGGGCTCGGGACCTCCAGTAGGGTAGACGTCAAAATACCCGACGAAAGAGCTGTAGAGGCTACATGTCTGGTAACTTTGCCAATTTCGTATCAAATGAGCTCGAACTCGCGGCCTGTGGGCGTGTGCACGAAACAGCGAGCCGATGGAACGAGGAGGTTGACATGTTCGGTACTCAATGGGGGCCGGCTTACCATGGAATAAAGTCGATGAAAGATGGGTGTGGAAACCACATTTGCTCAGCCAGCGGCCGATACCAACTTGGGCATTTGGCGAGGTTCTGGGCGGTGGGAAAGACCAACAACTTATCGTACAATGGCCGTGGTCAGTGTCCCATCGAGTTTCATGCACTTGGTGGGGGAGGAAGACATACTGTCAAGATTCGATACAAAACCCAAAACATGACGATTCTCCCCAATCTCGATCCATACTTCCAAAACCGGACCTCTCCGTAGGTGGCGATGGCAAGCTCTCTTTTCGTTGTGGCGAGACTGTCATCGTCCTCGGGCGCGTTCGTCGGGACCATGCTGTCGCACACGGGGACCGAAGATGGTTCTGACGCCTCAAGATCCTGGACCAACAGGTGGAGGATCCCACGCGTGTGAGCGAGGTTCCGAAGCCGCTTGCGGGGGCCGCAACTGGGCGGCCGGTGGATGTGAAAAAGGCGACTAGAGACATTGTAAACAGAGCCCGAGTAGCTAGTGTTGGATCTCCAGATCATGATAGCCTCGAGAAACTCGGCGTCTGAAAAGTTCGACTCAAGATTCGGTCGCTGGAGGGCGGCGCAGATTTCTGGAAATGGAGATGGAGAGTTGGGCACCGCCATGCGAAAATCCAGTTCCGTTATCAGGTTAAATGGGGCATTGAGGCCGGGTTCATGATTGACTTCTGCTTGAGGTCTCTGGTCGTGCCCGGAAGCGATGGTAACAGCGAGGCTCGCTTCGACATAAGCCCTCGTGTGAGCGTCGATAGATTGAGTGCCCGTGGTCGTCGATAGAAGAGTCGTTGGAGCGCCAGGACAGCTGCCTCCAGGGCGTACCTCGAACAGGAGATGTGCATCTTCCCAGGGTATGCCTCAGGAAGAGTACACTGATAACAATTTCCCACGAAGGTTGTCCCTCTCGGCTTCAAGAGTCTTGTTTTCTACAAGTAGTTCCGATACACTCCGGTCGGGCTGCTGGCTGCTCAGGAGCTCGACGCGCTGCTGCAACGAGGCGATAGTCTGACGTGCCTTGTTTCGGTTTTCTCGCACCAGGAGCCTGTCTGCCGCCCGCTTTCTGTTCAGTTGTTGCGCTGTCAACTTGTCTTTCCACCCTGATTTGGGCGCCGACTCGCCCTCATCAGGGGGTCGTGGTGAGGCAGCGCGGCGTCGAGGCATGAACAGTGTCCCTATATCTGACTGTCGCCGCCGGGGTGAGTGTAACGAATGTGCATCGAGGGGTCTTGCTAGCTCCAGGAATCGTCAATGGAGCAATAAGCTCGCGTAGAGGGAGAAAAGTACACATGAAGTAATTGAGCGTCGAGCGAGAACTGGTGCCGTACACGTGGGACGCCCTCCCACGCTAAGTTTCCCTACCGTCTGCCGATCTGCGGACGATTCGCCAGCACAGGGCACGGTTTTGTTACTGGAAAACTCGGGGCAGACTTGGGGACCCCAGAGCAGCTTGATCTGGGTGGATTGCGGACACAAAAAATGAGGTTGGCGGTCGGGAGAACAGGGCCCGACGAGTCTGGGCAGCCCGGCGGCACTCAGGGGCCAGTCCCTAGCGGGTCTCTCGCCTCGGAAAGTGGGGGGACGACGTCGTCCATTGACTCATCTGACAGTCAGGCTCGGTCTACAAAACCAGGGGGCGGTGTGGACCCTACCACGCATGACCAACGAAACACAGGAATGGAAGTCGGGGGTTGACACCTCATTGCACAGTATTGCATAAGGGAGCTTTGAGCGAGCCACGAGGCAGTGCACTGTAGTGTTCAAAGTATAGAGGGCAACCACGGCCGCCCGTTTGAAGCATTGCACCCCTGGCGTCTGTCTAGAGGGAGCCAGGCAGACTTGATCCGAGAATATGCACAAGGGTCCTCCTTCAGATGATGGGATGCCACCGTTGGCAAAGTAGGCTCGGGGCAAAGGAGCCTATCTACTCGGTACGGTGTACGGAGTACATACATACAGTAAGTAGATGGGGGCCACCAAGCCGCCTCTGTGGTATCCACTACTAGGGTTACGTCGGTAGCGACTACTTCGTGAATGTGTTAGAAGACCTCTTCAGTCGCTGGGTTGACGACTAGGAATTTTTCTCTCTCTTTTGGCCTTAACAAACTCGTTGCTGATAAAGAGACGAGTTCCGACGGGTCCAATGTCGGATAAATGGCCGCTTGTTGCCATACGTGCTTTGTTCTTTACTTTAAAAAAGGACAACAAGAAGATCCTGGCACGGCTCGCGCGACGCGAAGATGGAAAAGGGTAATCAAGGGGCCGACTTAGATGACTTGCAGGATATATCTCTTCCTACAATCCGTTGACATCAATCGAAGAAAGATGGTGAACGATAGGCGTCGTACCTGCGATATACAGGCTAAGAATTCTAGTCTGATCGATTGTGAAAGATCTACTCATTCTGTTCTTGGACCCAGTTCCGGACTTCTTGTCGGATCTTGAAATTTAGGAAAGGATAATTTTGGGTTATAGTAGTCGTTGCTTAGATACCGAGCGTCGCATTGACCTCAATCCATCCTGACACCAAGCTTGGTAGTTGTTTTGCCCTCGACCAATTTCGCAAAGAGATCTGGCACCGCTTCTAAATCACTAATTTCCACCTCAGGGATGATTCTATGTCTTTGAACAACGTCCAGCATCTCCCGCAGCTCCAGAGGACACCCAGTTTGAGTTCCTTTCACCACTACCATCTTCTGAATCATAGGCAGAAGGTTGAATTGGATTGGTCCATGTGGAACGCCGACTGTGACGAGGGTCCTTAGGATCGATCAGCACACAACATACAATGTACTTGGTTGCACGAAGTGAAACACAAAAACTTACTTCCCAAACCCGATAGTTTCCAACGCACCTTCGTATGCAGCCTGTGATCCTACTGCAACCACTGCTCCATCCAAGCCTTTCCCGTTCGTGATCTTCTCAACTGCCTGCTTTGTAGATTGGAGGTCGGAAGGGTCTACGACCTCTGTTGCCCCGTAATTGGACGCAGACGACCTCGCTGTGGGTGAGACATCGAACCCGATGACGGTATATCCCAGGGCAACGGCAAAGCGCACAACTAAGGTACCCACCCCTCCCAGCCCAAAGACACCCAGGTACCCGCGACCTGGGGCGTCAACCTTCTTGACGGCACCGTACGCCGTGATTCCGGCACAGAAGAGTGGTGATAGCCTGTCATGACAGTCAATCCGTGGGCACACTTCATGAACAACTTCACCATGGCGCATACTTCTCCAGCGGTAAGCCGTCGTGGATCTTGACAGCAAATTGCCAATCGACGACAGTATATTGAGCAAAGAAACCGTCCAGATGGAATCCTTGATTCTTCTTGCCGTTCTCGCAACATTGCCCATGACCCGCTAAAGTTTGCTTCTTGAGTTGAAGAACATACAAAAAGTTCAGAGAACAATTAATCGAACAGTTATGACTTACCTAGACATGCAGCGCAGGAGCCACAGGTGCGAATCGCGTTCACGAAGCCCACCCTATCTCCCACCTTAAAGCCGCGAACAGGTTCTTCGACTAAATTGCGGACGCTGCTGTCAGTCGCGTCGAACCATCCGCGCTTACAGATGTAATCCGCACCTTTGACCACGATCCCAACGCCTTCATGTCCCGGTACGATACCTTTGGGATCGCCTAGGAACCCTCGCCATGGGACAATGTCAGATGCGCAGAGGCTAGCAGCAACCACCTTCACAAGTAGGTCGCCAGGAGCGAGCTCTGGAAGTGGTTTTTCAGTGACTGCAAGTCGTTCGTTTGCCTGTTGATGGCGTGAGCAGGCTCTTTCGAAGTGATTTTTGACTGGAGATCCGACGGACCTGCTGAAAGACGATTGCTTTCATAGATTGTGGAAGATCTGAAATTGCCATTGTGTGGCGGACGGATAGCACATGCACAGCCTGTAGGTAGAGTTGTCCCAAATGTCATCAGGCCTGCGAACCCGTAGGCATGGAGTACCTATAATCATAAACGAGGACCTAAAATACGGGATTAAACACAGGGACGACCTGGTCGTTGACCACGAGTCGCCCGGCTGCCGTTCCACTGCATCCTGGCGCCCAAATTGATATTTCTCCAACTAGAAAATGAAAGCAATTTTTAAGGGCAAGCCTAAGAATTCGTGACTTTTGCCATAGGGTTTAGAGCTCGTCTCCTTGAACTCTTCTCATCTGAAAGAGCCCATTGTGAATCTTTTTGCGCCGGGCCCGAAAAGGAAAACAGTATGGACGAAATAATCCGTCGGCTTGAAGGCAAAGTGTACATTAATAATGAAGTAAGGATGCTGATCGGTTGATTAGAAATGACACTCACAACATAGCTAACATCTTTGGAAATAGTACATTGACTCTCAAAGCTCTGTCTAGTAAGAGACGACGTTCCTGACTCTGTTTGAAAGGTTCTAGCTAACTCTTTCTCAGTCTCACAGTTTCCGATCCAGCTGACGGTAAGGTTCTTACATCGAAGATCCCGAATGCATCATCAGAGGACCTGGATCTTGCTGTCAAGTCAGCCGAAGACGCATTTCAACGCTCGAGCCCGTGGCGGACCATGAGCACCGCGGCGCGGAGACAGTGCATGTGGAAACTTGCCGACCTCTTCAACGATCCGGTCCACGCGGACATGATGTCTCAGTTGGAATCTCATTCCTTTGGCAGACCAATCAAGCCTCACCTGGACGTTGATGTTGCAGTTGCCGTGGAGGGCATTCGATGTGAGCAGTTACCACTGGGGGCGATGCCCGTAGTCCGGGAATATCTGCTGATACATGGCATGCATCGTCCCATAGACTACTCTGGCTGGTGTGACAAGGTCACCGGGGAAACACATCTCAAGGACAACGGATTTACAAAGTCTGTGCGAAGGGAGCCGATCGGCGTGGTTGGAGCACTTTTGGCATGGAATGGCCCGGTCAGATGCCCTGCACAGATACCCAGCTCATGCCCGCCACGAGTGGACGAGTATGATGAACATGGGACTGACGTCGACCACTTTCCAGATTGCCTCTGTCGTCATGAAGGCCGGCCCAGCACTGGCCACGGGCAATGTTATAATCCTGAAACCGAGTGAGAAGACCCCTCTAGGGGCGCTCTACGCGGCCGACCTCTTTCGTCAGGCGGGATTTCCACCGGGGGTTTTTCAAGTCCTCCCTGGCGATGGAAAGCTTGGTACGCTGATGGCATCACATATGAGGATTCGAAAGGTAAGCCCTTCTTCCACCACAACGTTCAGAGTGCTTCGATCTCAAGGGTACCCGCAGATAAGCTTCACGGGCTCCATTTCAACAGGCAAGAAAGTGCAGGAGGCAGCGGCCAAGTCGAATTTGAAGCGTGTGACTCTGGAACTCGGCGGGAAAAGCCCCGTCATCGTATTTGAAGATGCCGACCTCGACGTTGCCGCTTTCTGGTAAGTCCAAGATGACCGTCGTTCTCATCTTCACTCAACAGGCGCGCGCGGGAACTAAGCCAGATTCCAGGGCTGCGACCGCCATAACTGCAAACTGTGGCCAGTACTGTATCGCTGGATCGAGAGTCTACGTCCAGAGCGAGGTGTACGACGCTTTTCTCGGCCGCTATACTGCAATCTTGAAACAGATGGCCGGCGGCAAAGGCATCCCCAGCGATCCATCGACGACTTATGGCCCCGTGGCCGACAAGATACAATTTGAGCGTGTCCAGGCATACATCGAAAGCGGGAAAGGCGAAGCGAAGCTGGTCCTTGGGGGCGACCGAATGGGGAACAAGGTCAGTCAAGCGCCAATTACACAGGCTAGCCGCCGCACGTTACATCTGCTGACCGTGAAATTTCTGATATCAACAGGGCTACTTCATCCATCCGACCGTCTTCGCAGATCCTACTCCGAACGCAAAGGTCTACAAAGAAGAGATATTTGGACCAGTCTCAGTGGTAAAGCGCTTCTCGACCGAGGAGGAGGTCATTGCTCTGGCCAACGATACCGAGTTTGGTTTGATGGCCGGGGTCTTCACCAAGCAACTCGACAGGGCAGAGAGGATGGTGAGTGCTATAGAGTCTGGCACCGTCTGTATTAATTCAATGATGATTGTGAGCGCCCAAACTCCTTTTGGCGGGGTCAAGCAATCAGGCTACGGGAGCGAGGGTGGCTTCGATAGTATTCTTGCTTACACCCAAGTCAAGACCGTTTTTCTAAGGTAGGTGGACTCACCGAAGGAACACTGGTACACCTTGTTAACACAACACGCAGCTCCTAGCAAAGGATGTTCTATATCGTGACAAGCAACGGAGCTTAGAATAGAATCACATAAATTGGAACTCTGCTCTCCATCTATGCTCCCGTGACAGTGCGTAGCTAGGAGACAATGTCCTCGAGGTCGAAATTTGGTTATTTCCCATCTCTATCTAATTTTTGAGCGACGGTCAGTTTCATCCAACCTTATCGAGGCATCGTGATACCCTTGTGTCCTGGCAGCATCATTTGGTGTCGACCTTATGATAAGACATGGCATGCGGCGATAGGTTGTTATCAAATCAATTAACTCATCAACAAGATGTGAGAACTCCTGTTACCTGCCGTGCGAGTTGAGACCCAATGGCCGATATCATGTGATCGACAGTATTGAAGCTGACTAAGGATACTGACACGTGACTCTTGGCAATGCGCGGCCAATTAGAAGATCATTCGGAGTTACTCCGGGTTCTTCTTTGCTTAGCACATCGCTGCCCAGAAATAATCCCTGTATTTCGCAGCCTTACCGCTCTTGGGGTCGCTCTCCACAATTCGGCGTGCTGTCATGTCATCCTTTAGCAACAATTGTTCGCTGCTCGGAATCAATACCGGACCGGATCAAACTGACAGACACATTGATTGGAAAGAGCATTAGTCGTCCTTCTCCTGGGGCCGCCATTCATAAAATTGTGCTTGTTGACCAAGGATGAATTCGAAGGCTGAGAGACTGAATTTCTCCTTGCCTCCAAGAGGCCAGCTACAAGCTTGCGGAACTCCGGAATTCCTTAAACCCCAGCCAAGCTGCACTGCAATACCCTAAGAAATCTGGGGCCCCACAATGGTGACGAGCGGTCTCGATCGGGAGTTTTGTGGAGCTTTCAACAGTGGACGAGTCGTCCAGGCTTGTAATACGAGGCATCTACAGGGAGGCTAAGTAGCGCGCTGACTCAGGGTATGGATGACAACGGATGGTAACTTACTGGTTGCGGCGAAGCCCATTTCCCAGCAAGTGGCGGTGAAGGGAGGATTCGGCTCCCCGACGAGTAAACGTAGTTGCCCTGCTGCCCTCGGTCAAAGTGGTCCAGTTTTGAAGAGTACAGTGTATACCCGCTACTTGACGTAACGGGCAGTGAGCATCTTCCTCTGCAATGCTTGTAGCCAAAGAAATCTCCGAATTAGAGATTTCTCGCTTCTTATGTGAGACACTCACTGGAGTCATGCTCCACTGGTAGGATCTAATCATCGATCCAGATAGTTACCTCCGTGCCCACGTCCACGAGTACTGCTCCTACCACGATGACCACGTCCCTAAGTAGCTATGACTTGTGGTGGTCCCCATGACATCCGAGGTCAATAATTCACTGTGATTATTGGTTGAACCGTACTAGGGGAACTGTATATTTATATCGATAAGAATTTCACGGAAGACCTGGCCGGCTTTTACGAGTCGCGTGTAACGACTCTGTACCCCCTTCGTCTGGCTCAATTGTATCATGGAGTAGCATTGCCCAGGAGCTGGTATCAGTCCCATAACTAAAAAATGCTATCATGCTGTTCGTTTGATGGGTCCGCCGGAGTGTGTATGCTAATCGATTGGGGAGGGTGTTCTGGAGCTTCGATAGCAAAATTAATTATTCTCACGACTCGGCTGGGAATACGGTGAGCATGGTCACGAAGCTTGCGCTTGGCTAGACAGCAGTTGTGCTCACTTAGATCTCTGCCCAACACTCAAGTCTTCTTTCTTTGAGACATTCGTTTTCAGTCAGCTTCAATGGCCCCAGAGCTGACAAGTTTGCACATGATCAGTCACCGTTGCAGCTTATCGAGCTGTACAAACATCCACTTTAAACCTTCTAAAGCCGTTCAGGAGAATCGGGAGTCCTCGGAGCCAGCACACAAGCTCAGGGTATTGCTCTCATGGGTGCGTGGGAACTTGCTAGATCATCTCGAGAGTGCTTGATCTTGAGACCAGATGTCAAGTCAAATCATTGGATCAAATCACTGCATCAAATCGACCGTTGCAACACGAAGATTCTCGTCCACAGTATCAGCAATGCTTTAGTCGCTTCTGATGGTTACGGACTACTTTACACGATGGAAGCCATGGAATCCCGCCGGGCCCAGAAAGACAAGGATGGGAACACTGTTTGACTCGGGGCATGTCAGTACCCCTATTCGCGATGGAAGAGGTTGGACTAGCGAAACCGAGCATCTCCCCCAGAAGGACATGAGGATTACTTCGATCACAGCGTCAGGGTCACTACAGGTACAACAAAGTACAGTAGGTTACCGGCATGGAGCGGACTCTTGGGTGATAAACAGGATCTATTCCCAGATGATTGTCCCAAGGCTAGCAAGCATATGTCGCGGTCTCTCGGCCGGAATTCCTTCGAAGGCGCCATATTGCAATAACATTCATCTGCAATGAGGCTTTCGACCGTCAATTACCAAGGAAGGAATGTTCCGTTGCCCACCGGGGAGCAAATATTCACGCTGCTGAGGGCCTGGACATGGGCGAACCTAATCGGAGACCTTTGGGGATGGATCTTCAATTTTAATATTCGTGTCCATGTTGACAGCGTGACTCTCCGCTCTAGGAGTCTAGATGGAGCCTCTGTGCTCCAAATAGCTTGAAAGATCACCACGGTATTTCCATTCTACTTCATTCCTAGTTCTTGCCATATCATTTTCGGGTAGATATATATGTCGAAGGACCGGGACTCCGTCACGGGAAGCACAGGTCACTTCGTACCTCAGTATCACCTCGGGGCTTGTTACTTAAGCGGCTGTGGTCCAGCTCATAATTTCCACCCGTCTAGCGACCATTAGCAAGAATCAAGAGAATTGGCCGCCGGTTGGCTGTTCACCTCACCGCCATCTGAGAAGGACTTTCCAGATATAAAAATTTGTGAAGAAATCGCGCGTGTGGCGACCGTAGCCATTCACTCTGCGGAGGGTTTGAAAACGGGACGACTCACAGGTCACTTCCTCATGTATATGGACTTTGTATGTATGGGTAACCCGTATCACGTATCCGAACACCCTGAACCGCAGTATCTCACTAGAAATCCCAAGTTGCAGGGGAAGCCGAGCCAGCTTGACGGACCAACGGTTTTTGTAACAGAGCATGATTTGCCATCTATCCATGTCAAAATAAGGGCCGGGTACGGATCATGTTTGCGCCAGCAGTGTTGTACTCCTGGTGCAGATTATCAAGAGACCGCCCAAATCTCCACACGACTGACAAACTCGTTAAGTGTTGGATATGCGTCGTGCCATTGATCAATGAGGACCCAGTGGTCAATATTTTCGGCAAATGCCTCAAAGGCAGGGTCGAGCCCGATCTCACCCTCATCGTTCATGATCAAGAGTGATTTGGCTCCCGGCCACTGTAGCCTTAAACAACTGGCGAAATTCCGCTCGAATGCGCGTTTTTGGGTCTGGTAGATCTCGGGACGATCAATCAGCGCGTCTCGCAACTTGGGGAATGCCAGAAAGTCAATTTCAATAGGATGCGGTACATTTTCCTGTTGCGGAGTAGGTCGCAGACAGTCGGGGATATCATGATAAAACTCTGGACATGGGTACATATGTACAGACATTCCCGCAAGATCTCACATATGGAGCAAGATCACTGCCATGCGAAACCGCTTCATGTCAAGGTCAGATGAGGCGACCCACGGGTGCCCCCTTCCGCTAGGATCGCAAAATCGAGTAGCGTGGGTTTGTCGCCAATGTTTTATCTGAGTCTTTGAGTCGAAGCTTCTATAATTGACGAGCCAAGTCAAACATGGGCGCTTTGCTGACGAATCTGATGTCCGTTGGCAGGACTGTCTCTGGAGAAGCAACGAAAGTTCCCGGACCGTCTGTGACATGGCAGTTATCATCCCGTGGCCTCTCAACGCTACGAGCTCATCTAACCTGGGCCGAATTACCGTGGAACATTGAAGGGTTCTTCCACAGAGTCGCCGTACCGGGACCGGAATTCCGGGATTGTTGACTGTATGATGTTGGCTTCCGGGGACAAGACACCTAAGCTTGTCTGACAAGTATTTATGCGGGCTATTAGTTTATGTATTATGACAAGAGGTTCGGAATTACCAAGACAACTAACTGATGGGCCAACAGTTAGCCGACAGCATTGGTCCTGCAGTATTCAGAAGACTTGCGTCCATCAATGGTACCTCGGATGGGAAAGCTTCAAGGCCGACACATAGTCCGCTCTATTTAACCCAAAGCCCACCCCCAATCCGATTGAATGAAGTGACATACGTTGACTTGGACTGCGCAAGGGAATTTTGATTTATTCCGTTAAACCGCACTCTCCCAAGGCGCATGCCATCGGGGATAGCTTATTGTACTAAAAGGGATAAGCCAACCAGTCTATCAAAGCGCGAGAAAATGGAGAGAGACCAGCGAGAACCGCCGCCGCACACGAGTTCGAATGGGTATTTCGTCCCTGACGTCACTTACCTAGACCCAGGAAATCGTCGAATGCGAATCGTCACCATAGGTGCTGGCTTCTCAGGCATAATGTATGCATATCGCTTTCAGAATGAACTTGAGAATGTCGAACACGTCATTTATGAAAAGAATGGTGATATTGGCGGGACGTGGCTGGAAAATCGCTATCCTAATTGCGCCTGTGACGGCAAGTTATTCACCATCGTTAGAGCAGTCAAGTACTTTTACTGACGCCAGAACTCCCAGTTCCAAGTCATTCTTACGTATATAATTTCGCACTGAATGTAAGCGAGGCTACAACTGGGTGCTTGCGGGCAATGGGGTCAAAGTCTAACCTTTTGTCAATCACTAGCCATACTGGTCCGAACTGTACTCGTCCAGTGATTCTATCTGGAAATACCTCGATCGTGTATGTCGAGTTTGGGACCTGCGTAAGTATATGCAGTTCAACTGCCGTGTGATTGAGGCGACGTGGAATGAGGGTCTTGGAAAGTGGATGCTAAAGGTAGAGCAAACCTACTCGGACGAAAGCACCTGTGTGTTGGAGGACGAATGTGTAAGTCCAACCACTTGTTAACAATTGCCGTCTGCCCAGTTAGTTCGAGAGCTAATGATGGTGAGCAGGATGTACTTATTCAGGCAACGGGTATGCTTAACAATCCCAAATTGCCAGAGATTCAGGGATTAGGGTCCTTCAAAGGTCGAGTGGTACACACGGCACAATGGCCTGATGAGTTCAATGCCGCTGAATGGACCGGGAAGAAAATCGTCATCGTAGGAGCAGGATCGTCCAGCTTACAAGCGACTCCCGGGTGAGAAGGAGCCTTCACTCAGTAGTTTTAAAGCCGTAAGCAACACTGACACCGGGCACAGAATGCAACCATATGCGAAAGAACTGCACGTTTTCATACGATCCAAATCCTGGCTGGCGTCCGTTCAACCAAACTACGGTGTTAGTGCACCCTCCTCCCCACTGACTACTTCATCAGCGTGACTGACTTGTGCCTAGCTGAAACCAGTTTGTGAGGCTCGCATTTCTCTGGCCCAACCTCAACAACGTGATACTGACATCAGAGTTCAAGGGTCTCAAGAAGAACAAGAGAGTTTTGCCCGTGATCACGCAAAATTGGTTTCGCAAGCACGAGTCTATGAAGCAGGAGTATGGCGCCTCCAACCCTTGATCCCCGTCCATCGACTGAAAATTTCTGAAAGGCAAATAGAGTCTGGAAAGCCTTGTTCAAGGATTCTCCCGAACAAGAGGCTTTCCGGTCGCGCTTTCAACAGATCATGCGCGATGAACTTGAGGACGAAACACTCGTGAAGGGGTTGGTTCCAGATTTCGCCGTTGGCTGTCGAAGAACGTCTCCGGTACGTTCTTGGCTCTGGCTATCACCATTCCCTTTGATCCAAGAATCTACTTTCGGGTTGACACTGAAGCCAAGGGTCGCGCATTTATGCAAGCACTGAAAAAGCCGAACGTATTTCCTCATTTCACAGCACTGGCCAAAGTGCGTGAAACCTCTGTGATTGGAGCGGATGGTAGCGAGATTGCAGATATTGATGCCATTGTCCTCGCGACTGGGTTTGATACAACTTACTTGCCTCGATTCAATGTGGTGGGCATGAATGGTATTTCTCTGAGAGCTAAATTTACACCCAACCCGGATTCTTATCTTGGAATCGGTGTTCCAGGTATGTTGAATGTTAGAGATTCACAAATCTTGCCGTGCTGACGTTCTTGGTGCAGATTTTCCAAATTTCATACGTACGTTTTGTTTACCTTTCTAACTATTCAAGTGTGACCAGAAGGCTTTCTGCGGCAACATCAAGATGTAACCAAAGAAGTACTGATTTACTTTATAGTTACCTTTGGGCCTACCTTTCCGGTACTTACGGGATCAGTGACAGCCTCAATCAGTGCTGTAGCAGACTATGCCATCCAGATGATCAAGAAAATTCAGGCAGAAGACCTCCTCTCCGTTTGTCCACGACAAGATATTACGGATCAGTTTAACGAGCACTGCCAAACCATGTTGCACGGAACCGTCTGGGAAGATCACTGCAATTCGTGGTACAAGCGACCATCGGACGGTCGCATTACCGCAGTCTGGCCTGGTATATAACACTCCACTGCTTGAATCTCTGCCTTGTTGAAAGGAGCTCACAAAGGGTACAGGTAGTGCATTACATTTCCAGGAAGTTGTCCGTCATCCTAGATGGGAAGATTTTCACATCAAGTCTCGCAATAAGGTAATTCAGACCTTTTTTTTCAATTTTGTTTCCCCATAGTTTGTGGAAAATCCCAACTAATTCCATGCTTTTGATGATACCAGCTGAACAGCGACATAAATGCGGATATTGCTCCCTATATGAATGTCGACAATCTGGACTTGGCCTTCTACGATTACGATAGATTTCCTTTACGCAAGGAGGCAGCCCCAACACCAAGCCAGGCTCGGGAACAGACACTCAGACCACGACCCGAAGCAGTCGAGCGCAATGGTGGGCCGTAGTCGATCAAAAAGCCCAATTTGCACAAGCATGACATGCTTGTTCCACGGCCCGCTTGAAAGCTAGTATGCGACGTCGTCTTTAGGGGACAGGGTGTCGTTATTGTTCTTCCTGTCACCTTAGCCGAAGACCCATGTGTTTTCTTGCCACTTGCTAGAATATATGCCTTCAACAAACGTCAATGTGAGGACGCCCGATAGAACGCACGACTATCCGTCAATGCATCAAAGAATTTCTCCTCATTGCTTTGTACTAATGCTGGAAAACTTTTCCCATTCGGCCCTAATCGGCATGTGCCCATTTCCCTTATGTTCCTCCTCAAGAGGCTGCACGTCCCCGGCTTTCATAAGGCAGTAGAAGACACATGAACCCAGCCAAAGTCAGGAGAGACGCACAAAGCCAGATAGGAGTATCCGTCTCAATGCCAACATAGGCAGCGATGAGAGGAGCCATCACGCCGGCCAGACGGTTGAATGTCATCATCAAACCATTACCCGTTCCTCTTATCGGTGCCGGAAAGAGCTCAGGTGTATAGCTGTAGAGCAATCCGTACATCAGGAACTGGAAGAAGGAGATCGCACAGGAGAAGCCGAGGACGGCTGCAGAGTTGCTGGCCTGAGTGTACAGAAACAGAAATAGTCCTGTACATATGCATGCAAATGCGCCAGTTCCCTTGCGACCCACGTTCTTCAGTCTCACAGAAAAGCCACCTAGAATAGCAGCTGGGAGACCACAAACTGCTTGGATCGTATAGTTGCGGTATGTGATGTCCAGACTTGAGGCGCCGACCGCGACACCCTTTCTTTCCAGATAGAAGGGAATGAAAGAATTGTACAAAGGGTAAGACATTCCAATCGCTGTCCAGAGGACGATCATCATACTAGTGGAGAGAGCCATTCGCGGAGTCGAAAACAGTGCTCGTACCTTGCTCGGCGCCCACTTTGCCATGAATCGTTGGATCGTCGTCTGGTTGGCAGTGGCGTGCAAACCAGCACCACCACTCTGAGAGTCGCGGTCGTCCGCTAGAAGTGCAGCTGCTTCCAGCCGTGCGTCTACGGCCTGGAGATGTGCCAAGGTCAGCCAGGTCGTTTTCCCATCCCGCGCGGCCATCTTCGTGATGACCTTGACGGCTGCCTCGTCTTTTCCTCTCCCCAGCAGATACTTTGGTGTTTCGTACAGCCCGAACATGAAACGGCAGAAACTGAGAAAGAGAGTAAAGCCACCTAGGGTCCAGTAGATATACCGCCACCCAATGTTCTCGTGAAACCCACATTCGCTTTGCGGCGTCCCGGCAGGGCATGTAAAGTTGACGACGAGGGGCCTAGATTATCAGTCATTCCCCGAAATTCTTGAATAAATCAAAAAATTCTGCTGTGGGCAAGCTTACCAGGAGACCAAAGCAGCCACAGCAATACCGGTTGCCAAGAACACCGACTGCACGGTCAGTAGATGTTGGTGTGTGGCCGGGATATATTCCAGGAAGATAGCACTGTCAACCGCATGATTGCCGCCGGCGCCAACACCAATCAGAGCACAGAGCGTGGCCATGGCGACAAAGTTCGGTGAGCCTGCAGCGACCAAGGCAGATAGGGAAGAACAAAGCAGTGAGATGTTAAAGGCAGGGCGACGGCCAATAAAGTCGGCGGCGAGGGGCCATGTCGATGCGCCGATTGTGAGACCAACGTACTTGGCGACAGTAAGGAAGGCGATGCGCTTGACAGCGAACTCTCGCTGGATAGCCGGACCGACGATGGTGATGGCTTGTAGCCAGACCTGAAACCACACTCAGTCACAGCACGGAATACAAATTTCAGTGATAAGTTACATTATCCACAAACCACCCGAATCCAGTAAGTATGAAGAGCTTCCACTGGAACGGTCCCATGCCAATATCAATCAACGCTTCATTGACGAGTGCGATCTTCGCTTCGTAGGCAGCATCGGCACCAGGTTGTACGTGAGTGGTGTCGATGCCATGGTAGTCTCGGTGGCCGGTGGTTTTCTGCTCGACGCTCAACTCAACTCGGTCCACATGACCAGTGGCTTCGACCTTCTCTTCCAGGTGACCTGGCTCTGTAGAACGTTCGCGGATTGACCTGTCGGACATGTTTGCAATAATCGAAGCTGGACGAGTTCAAAGTGTATAACCCAGACTACTTCCCGCGCGACAAACCTCGCATTAAATACTTCGATTCCCCAGGCTGCCGCTCCTGAGATTGTAGCTTGGTATATAGCCGCGGAATTACGTGTGGAATTTTCGGAATGCGATTCCTTGACCATCGAACGCCTGTGTCCAAACCTGTGTCCGTCTTGTGCCAATAATACCGAGGCGCGCACCAAAGGAATTGTCAACGCTAGTAATAGAATGACAAGCTGATCAAAAGACGACAGACTTTATTTTCGTTGCCCCTTACAGCGGCCCCCGGAGATATAGGAGCTCGACGCTCAGCGCCTAAAGCCCCTAGCGAGACTGGGAATGGAGGTTACAAGGCCGCCTATAGATCTGACTTATAGCAAAGAGATAGGTAAGGGGGCCTACAAGCTGAGAAAATCTCCTGTCATAGTAAGTAGCCTGAACAGTACTTTTGGTGCGCGCCCTCGTACAGTCCCTGCACCACCCCCCACCTCGCGCCCCCCCGGCCAAGCCCGGAGGGGCTAGATTGATCGGAAAATGGACCAGCCTCTGGGGGTGCAAGAGAGATACCTAGGTATTCATCCTGAAAGAAAGGCTTGCCGTGAGTACATGGACCTGCGTAATCAGTACAGTACGTGCTGGAACGGGCACTCGGTAGATGTTTGAGACAATGATTCCGGACCCTGAAGTTTTCAAGACATAGCGTCCAGACCCTGGGAGTTCTCAAGGCTTCGTCGTCTCACTCACTGTCGTTTCGATCGAACTCGTTCGCTCTCAGCTGATTCGGACGTCCTTCTGCCAGCCCCAGTCAGTTCCGTCCCCACGGGAAGAAGGAAAGTTTCCTTGAAACATAAAGGTCGCTTTCTCTGGCCTTTAGCCCCTACGTGTACATCTCTATGCTTCCATCGTCAAATTACCCTTGGGCGAGCGTCGGACCTCTTCGCCCTACAACATGAATTCAGCAATTGGAGCAACGGGAGTTGCCGTTGCGTTAGGGTCAGCGTATCTCGATGCCAAGTACCATATCACGAAGGATATCAGTCTTCTCTCAGAGGTCATTACAGCAAGGAGGGATACCCGAAGTAGAGGTAGGGTAAATCCCGACTGCAATGCGATTCTGAAAACCCTTCCCCACTAATAGGTGTAGTGAGAAAGGGACAGGTGTCCCTGTGGTTTCGGTTTCTCGAGTCAGCGGCCAAGTTCCCAGCCTCGGACGCGATTTGGACGCGAGAACGGTGTTATACATTCTCAGAATGTCTCACGAGGTGTTGTCAGTACGCCTCCTTCCTCCGCGATCTTGGAGTGGTCACCGGCCAAGCGGTGGCAATGTATATGTATAATTCGCCAGATTTTCTCTTCATGTGGCTCGCATGCTATGCGGTTGGTTGTTCTCCGGCGTTTCTCAACTACAACCTGACGGGGAACGCCCTCCTCCACACTTGGCAAGTCGCCAAAACGAATTTCCTTATCGCGGACGGAGACCTGGTGGTCAACTTGGACTGCATCAAAGAGGTCCTGAACGCCAACCAGAGGATTGTGATCCTGAGCGAAGCGCAAAAGTCTTCAATATACAGCCTCGCCACACAATTGCCCGATGACCACCTTGCGAGGAGTGTGCGACCAGATGATCAAAGTATGATGCTATACACAAGGTCTTTCAATGGTTTCTCCCACTCAATTGAACGGCCAAAACTGACATTGAGGAAGTGGGACCTCGGGGTTTCCCAAAGCCTGCTCCTGGACCCATCACTTCCTAGCAGATGCCGTCTCTGCAAGGTTGCACAGCAAAGTGTGTACGACGCCAGGCCCCAATGGGGACAGATGGTATGTCTGTATGCCGCTGGTGAGTCTATTCGATAGTTGAAAGCGAATGTCAACTTGATCGTCCAGCATGGGCTGACCAGTGAGTGACAGTACCACGGAACAGGCGGCATTGGAGCGATCACAGCGCTTTGTGGGGGGATTACCGTTTGTCTGGTGGAGAAGTTCAGTGTCACAAAGTTTTGGGAAGACATCAGAAAATCTTGTGCCACTCTATGCATATATGTTGGCGAGACAGCAAGATGTAAGACTTCCATCCCCTGGCTCAGTCCGATCATGCTAAGACTTTGGGCGACATGTAGATCTGCTCTTACCGCCGCCGAGTCAGCTAGATAAAGAACACAACCTCCAGGTCATGTTTGGTAATGGAATGCGGCCAGACGTCTGGACCAAATTCCAGGATCGATTTGCTGTTCCAATGATAGTAGAATTCTTTGGCGCCAGCGAAGGTGTGTTTGGCCTGCAAACCCGTGCCAAAGGTATGTCCCTCTCTGTTCCGTCGCATTAAGTGGAGAATGTGTGCTAATCGGGGTTCTGTTTCCAGGACCCTTCCTCGCGCACTCAGTCGGGCATGACGGTCTGCTTATCCGCTTCATCATGCGCAACAAATACTTTGCCGCCGCCATTGACCCGGATTCAGGGGACATCCAAAGGGATCCAGTCACGGGATTAGTGGTGGAAAGTCCTCTGAGGACAGGTGGCGAGATCCTATTTGCTCTAGAGAAGGAGAAGGATTTTCGAGGATACTTTGACAACCAAGAGGCCACGGAGAAAAGGCTGGCACGCAACGTCCGTTGTCCGGGAGACCTGTATTACCGCACCGGTGATGCACTGCGGAGAGATTCTGAAGGACGTTGGTTTTTCATGGACCGTCTCGGTGACACATTTCGCTGGAAGAGCGAAAATGTGAGCACATCAGAAGTTTCAGGCATCTTCGGCAGCTTTCCCAAGATAAAGGAAGCTGTCATTTACGGCGTTTTGATCCCACATCACGATGGCCGAGCGGGTTGTGCACGCGTCGTCATCGCTGAGCAGGACCAACCACATTTCGACTACCGCTCTTTAGCGAGGTAAGTCAATCCCCCTGATATCAAGCTGTGGCCAGAAAGTGAAAGCAAGACGTGGTTCCAACAGCCAACTCCGAGCACGACTACCTAAATACGCGGTTCCTATCTTCCTGCGAGTCTCAACGACCCATGCCCCGACGACAGGCAACAATAAAATTGTCAAGGGACAGCTCCAGAAAGAAGGTATAGACCATGCGAAATTTGCTAACGGCGACAAGATGCTGTGGTTGCTACCCGAAGCAGATGCGTATGTGGAGTTCACTCCAACTGACTATAATCAGCTTACCATGGGCAAAATCAAATTATAAGGATCATCGTTGGGGACAATTCTTCACTAAAGGGACTCGCCTTTTCCATGGTTGTGAGCATGAATCTAGGCAATGGAGTGTTACGAAACTACCTACCTAAGGCACAGCCCGAGACAAGACAAACAAGAGAAGCCTGTGGGGTGTTGTTAGATGGTGGAAATGACAGCCCGCCCAATTTGGCATAGCGTAAGGCTGCGGGTAAAGTGGGCACCTGAGATGGGTTTTGGACCATCTCGAAGTCAAGGATGGCTGAGGCATGACTTCTACAAAAAAGTGTGGCCCGAGGTGGAGACATCCTGGCAACTTGCTTTCGTCTCGCCTGACCGGCACCGGGGCCGGGGAGTTTTCTCGACAATAGTTCAGGATGTCCACGCTCTGTCAATTGAAATGCGGGCTGAGTTGACGGGAAAGGGGCGACCACACCATCGGAAAATCCGTGCTTCCTTGAACGAATTCCTTGCTCGTGCTTTCTCTAAGCCAGGAGAACAGCAGCTTTAATCCAGGATTTGGATTTGGCTCGCGCCTCCCGACACCGGAAGAAGGGCGGAGGATGTGGATCCAGCCTCTGCAGGCTACATCTAAAGCATGAACTAGACGAGAATACGAGCAGCGTGTCGAGAGCAAGACGTTCACAAGCTCATATGTCAATCGATAAGCAGATGGATGGATTGTGTCGAAGTTGCTGTACTCCTCGAGATGACAGATGCTATCTGATCAAAAGGCCATCTTCAGCATGTCCCAAATCAGGAGAATTGTGTCACTACCATCGACCGTGGCAGCCTCGAGACAGTCTCGTGGAGTCGGTATATTCAGTTCCTTATCGCATAGTCCATTTCCATTTCTTGTATACTTGATCGCCACCAGCTCAACTTCGGACGGGTCATTAGAATCCAGGTCAAGAGTGCGAGAGGTCCTCCAGGCATCTCACACTCCCAAATGAAGTATGTGATGTGAACTGTGTCTGATGTCTGTGCGGCCTGTTGAGCCGATAGTGCCGAACTCTGGTGAAAGTCGGCAAAAGCTCAGTGACGACCGAGATCGACGTGATCTGTCGTCTACTGAAATGATCTCTTACCGGCAGCTGAAGCGATAATCAGAATGGGGCCTAGGTCATAATTCTGCATCCGCATTCGAACTCGGCAGTAGCTAGAGACGGTAAAGCTGAGATGACAACCAGCATTCATCCTCAGACAATGAAGGCATTCTTAAGCAGACTCCCACTAAAGAAACGACACATTGTGTTCGGCGATGATATAGACCAACCTCGTGTTCTCTGTTTCATTGAAGCAAAACCACAAAGTCCTCCTCTTTCAGATGTACGTAAAGCGGAATCACAAGCTATAGATACATGCCGAAGACATCTTCAAACTTACAACCAAAACAACCTCTACGTTTTGACTATTATCGGGACTCAAGCAAAACCATAGACTTATGCATGAAATGACTACAAATTGGTGGCAATGCATCTAGAAGATAGTCACAGTGACGACCCACGACAAGGTTATAATAATGAAATGCATTCCTCCCAACGGTAGTAAGTTAAACCCGCAGCCTTTGAGAGATTTCCTCCAGCTACGGTGGCCCGGAACTGCGAAGCCGTCCAATCATATGCCGACCTCAATACCTGGGGCATTGCATGCAAACCCGATATTTTGTCGCTCATTCAATCCCCAAAGGTACCTGAATCTCTTTAGCAACAATAGTAAATAACGATTTATCGTGGTATAATAGTGTTGAGTAGGCCATAAATCTGCACATTTTGCAATACTAAGAAACTACTCAGCAATCCTGGCTGCGTAGGGGATACGCGGTCCGTGCGGTACCACTTGTGCTTTCAACAGAGCCTTCTCCGGTACAAATCAGGACGCTCCTCAATGTCATCATCACACAACACGTCACGCAGCTCAGAGCTGGTACTTGAACCCCGGAGAGCGATCGGTCCATTCTCCCTGGGGGACGACGTAGCCCTGTGCCACCAGCTTGGCCTTCTTGGCCTCTCGGTGCTTGTAGATGAAGAAGAGGATCCACCAGCAGATGAATCCCGTGCCGATCGAGGCCAAGCTCCAGCCGTGACCGAGCAGGAACCTGGGCGCCGACGTGGACCGGTAGATCTGGCCCGCGATGATGCCGCCGATGTTGGCCAGGCCCAGGTGCACGCCCATGGCGGCCGCGCGCTTGCCGTCCGGCGCGATGTTCATCCCGTGCCACGCGATGCTCGTCCCCGTGATGATGTAGCAGCACGACGCGATCATGTACGTCGCCCCGTACCACACGCTGGCGTGCTGCTTGGTCAGCAGGATCGCGTACCCGGCAATGCCGAGCGGCGCGGAGATGACGAGTGATGGGAAATACGTCTTGTATCTCTCCGAGAGGGCGGCGGCGAAGAAGTAGCACACCGCACCGACGATTTGGACTGGAAAGCGACGGGTTAGCGAATCGGGCGAATGGAGGAATTAGTGATGCGGGTCTAATTACCTGGGATAACATAATACTGGGATTTCTTGGTCGAGTAGTTGAACCCGTCCTTGAGGATGATGGGGAGGAAAGTCCCGAAGCCTGGCCACCACCGTAGATTAGCAACTACCAACTGGTTAATTGAAAGGCGTAAAATTACCGTAAATGATGGTCGACATAAGAACCTGGTTGAAGCCGTGCAGCCACGTCTTGATGTCGAGCATGGCGTTCTTGACGTCCTTCCCGGTATATTTGCCGTCGCCGCCGCTGTAGGATTCCATGAGCTCGAGGCGCTGCTTCTGCACGGCCTTGTCCTCGTCGTTGAAGAAGTAGGCCGTCGCGTAGGATCGCGGGATCAGGAAGTAGCAGATGAAGGAGAAGACAATGGTGACGATTCCTTCGATGATGTACAGCCTGTGTGTGGGATCCAGTTAGGGAACATGCCTTCTTTGGAGGCCAGAAAACAGCTTCGCTCACCATCGCCATCCGGGGTAGCCAGCCGTGCCGTCCATGTATAGAATGCCAAAGGCGATCAAACCCCCAAAGGCGCCGGACAGAGCAGAGCCAACTGAGAATCAGGCGGAGTTAGCCACTGGGGATAATTTTGAGGAGGGTTTTTGGGGATGAGCATACTGTATAGGTAACAAACGCGCTGGCCGACTTCTTCACGCCGATACCAGTTCAACAAGAACATGGTCATGGATGGGAACAAGCAGCCTTCAAAGACGCCCAGAAGCAAACGGCAAACGATAAGGCCGGCGTAGTTCTGGATGAAGCCCGTGCACATGCACACAAGACCCCAGGCGAAGACGAGGACAGGGATGACACGGTAGAATTGCAGCCGCTTCACAAACATTGTGGTTGGGAACTCGTTATTGTTAGCTGGGTTGCACCGATATCACATAAAGACTTCTCACCTACCTCTGACAGAATGTACGTGAGATAGAAGATCGAGACGGCCGTCTAGTTATCGTCAGAACCTCGAAATTGCACAGAACCTCGCGAGAACTCACGTTCAGTTCATTTCCAGTCAGCCCAATGTCTTTGGTCATGCCCTGGGTTGCGGCGAAACCAATGTTGCCACGGTCGAGGTAGCTGATCAGCATGAGAAGAAGCATGACGGGCGTGATGTATAGATCGAGCTTCCGAACAACTCGCTTCTCCTTCTTGATGAACTCCTTCTGCTCCGGTGTGAGAGCATGCTCGCCATCCCCAGCAAACTCCTCGAGGTGCACATTGCCCTTCAACTCTTCCAGATTCTGCGCGACGGAACCCATCGTGAATCAACAACCACCCGAGAAGATTCGTGATCAGAGAGACTTGCGGGAGGAAGGCCTTCAGATGGTACTGTTCGCCACGGGAGTGAGGAATAGATAGACTCTTGGAAGGAGAGTTTGGGACAAGACAGGACAGGATAGAGAACAAGCTCACGGCATGATAAAGTCGCTTTGAACCCAAGACACGAAACCCCGTGGGGATAGAGTTCGGTTAGCACGGGGAGAGGGCGCCTGGGAGAATGGAAGAGAAGGGGAGTCGAGAACTTTGGGGATCTCGTCGTTTGTTTGGGATGCCATGGTGCACAGTTACCGAGTTGCTGGAATTGGGGAATCTGCAGCTGAGATCTCAGGTCCTCGTCGCCTCACCAGACATGGCAAAGACCCTCTAGATTGGACGAAACGGTGCCTTCGTCTCGCTTAAGCCCACGCTGGCGTGTCGACGGATGGTATTCGGTTCCCAACTGACGCGGAAAGATCGGGAACCCACTCGTGGTACTCCAACCCTGTTGAAAATGCATGCGACGTACATATTTGGGGGTTATCCATGCTCGACGCTCAAAGAGTAGAGGCACCATGGAGACCGATTGGAGGATCTCCCTTGTTTGTACCAAGGATCAGGCATTGGTTGGAGCAAAAAGTCCACGCGCCTGAAGGTCTATCCCAGACGGGAAGATCCAATTGGGATCTTGGCTTCTCGAGGACTCGTAGCCCGCTGACTCGAGCAGTATCATACAAATAGGCCCTAGTACTGGGGAAAGAAGTTGCTGTAGTAGGTAGTAGGTTCAACCGAGTTTGCCTACCTCACAATGATTGCTACGTTGGTTGGTGGCTGGGCTTGCGACTCGTACTCACAAGGCTTGTCCAACATCTTTTATCACGTGTGGGAAAGAGAAGCTCAAACTTGGCACGGCATCTTCGGCACCCAAGAAAACACTCGTACCGAGTCCAAGTAAGAAAACAAGTTCTGAATATTGGGGGCAGATAAAGTGGGTTTAGTCTGGGGGGGAACGAGGAGGCGGGAGTGGAGGGAAATAATGGAGACGGAATTCCTGCGGAGGTGGATCAACCGAACTTTGACAAGACGATATCAATATTTCGGCTGCCGGAGAGTGTCCGGAGTTTTGTCACAGACCCAGTAGAGGCCACCTCGTCGCCTACCCCATGGAAAGATCGGCCCTTCAACGTGGTCAGTAGCCACCTAGCCTGTGCCTCGTTACTTGCGGCTGGCGGTGCCGTTGGAGAAGCACTTTCTTACAAAGAGTCCCTCTG